AAAGAAATAATGACTGGAAAATCTCCAGAAATTATGCCAAACATGAATTTTCTTATCAAGTAGAATAAATAAAACTAAAACCACATTTAGATACATGATACTGAAACAAACACACCAAAGACAAAAAATAATCTTAAAAGAATCAGAGAAGAAAACATTGCCTACAAATGAAAACCAATTATATTGAGAGTAGACGTCTTAACAGCAACAACTGAAAATAGTATTCCATTGTATTCTGACTTTTAAGTGCTGAGAAACAACTATCAATCTGAAATTCTAAAGTTAACTAAATAAGATATTTTTAGACAAAAACATCAGCTGACAAGCTGCTAAAGGACATTCTTTCATAAGAAGACAACTGGATCAGAAAAAAGGGCCAGGATGAAAGAAAGCTGATGAATAGCTGAAAGAAGTACTAAAGAATGTTCTTTAGTAAGAATACAATTGGATCAGAAAGAAGAGCCAGGACAAGAGAGCGGGGCGGAAAAGGGCAAATACGTGGGCAAATCTAAACAAATATTGACTATTGAAAATAATAATAATGATTAATTTGAGGATTATAAAAATAAAGTGGAACCAAAATGCTAGTCAATAATGGCTTGTAAATTGGTAGGAAGGTGATTAGAGATCTTTCTAAGGATCATTCTAAGATCCTCGTATTATTTGTGAGAAAGGTAGAAAAAGACTAATTTTAACCTCTGTTTCTTCATTCATTCAACAAGCATCTTTTAAGGAGAGGTAAAAGTAATCTATGGTAAAAGAAATCATAATAGTGATTACTTTGTGTGGAGTTGTGACAAGGAGGAGGCATGACGCGTAAGAGAGGCTTCTGGAGGTGCTGGTAACATTCTATTACTTGATCTGGATGGTAGTTACATAGATGCATTCATTTTGTGATATTTCATTGAGGTGTGTGCTATTCATTTGTATACTTTTCTGTATGTAATGAAGTATGTGTATGGAATATTTCTGTAAAAGTTATAAAAGGAAACTTTACTGCACAATTTACACCAAAATAAAATTGACAGGTTATTAAGATATAACTTTAAATATAAGTCCTAAAAATAATGGAAAAAATAGAAGTTAGTATTTACATAATCTTGGCTGGGAAAGAACTTTCTAAGCATGACACCAAAGGCAGAAATCACTGGTAGCTTTGCCCATATAAAAGTAAAAAATGAAATAAAATAAAATAAAACTTTTATACAACAAAAAACTACAAATAATATAAAACAAAACATCAAATACAGGAAAAAGATCTGCAAAATATATAACGGACAAAAGGTCAATATCCCTCATTAAACAGATATAATTCTTAAACATTTTAGGAAGAAAACGGAATACCCCAATTTCAAAATGGGCAAAGAATATGAACTGGCAATTCATAAAAGAAATATATATATGGCCAATGTGCTCCGGAAACTGACACAGGTTAAGCAATTTGCCTAAGTTCATGAAAATAGTAAGAGGGAAAGTCAGGATTCAAACCCAGGCAATCTTACAATTCAATTAATATTTGTTTAATGAATGAATGATTATATATTTAACTCTAAGAGATGTTTACATGATAGACTGCAAAGTGCAGGTTATAAAACAGAATGTACAATGAGATCCCTTTCTGTCCATACCTTCACATACATGTTTATACAGGCTTAGAAAAAAAAGTCTGAAAAGATCAAAATGTAACAGTGGTTAGATTATGGGAGGTTTTTTTTCCTCTTTATATTTTCTGAATTAAAAAAATTTTGGAATAAGTATATACTATTTCCATAATAAAGGGAAAAATTTATATTAAAAAGCCAAATAATAATACAAAGTGAAAAAGTACACAAACATCTCTAATGACTCTCAATGTATCTATGTATACATGGCTCAGCATGGATCTCTCAGGGTCCCCAATCATTAAATTCAACTATCATGCTATGGTTCTCTAGTCTCCTCCTCTGTTTTCCTACTCTTAGCTTCCAAATTAATCTTCCTAAAATTTTGTGACCCTCTTGTAATTTTATTGCTTAAAAGCTTTCAACAATTCCTCATTTTCTACACAACAAAGTAGAAATTCCTCAGCTTAGAATTTAAGGCCTTCCACAATTATGGCATTCAATCAACTTTTCACTTATTACACATTCCAGCTAGTTGACTACTTGCTATTCTTCTTCTGTGCATGTTGCCTACAGCTTGCCATAACGTCTTCATGTGGTTAACTGCCTAGAATGTGCTCTCCCTCCATATGTCCATTTTCCACCCAAGCCTCAGCTTATACACAACCTTCTCCATGAAACATTTGCTCATTTCTTTTAACCACTTTGAGAATCCATGGCTCTTTTTCCTGTCTCTCTAGGCACTTATTTTCTTGTTTTTTTTATATTTATCTTTCCTAATAGACAACGACTTACTTGAGGTAGGATTTTTATCTTATTTATCTTTGTATTCTTCTTACTAAATACTTTTTTCTTTTTAAAGATTGGCACCTGAGCTACATTGCTGCCAATCTTCTTCTTTTTTTCTTCTTCTCCCCAAAGCCCCAAGGATACAGTTGTATATTCTAGTTGTAGGTCCTTCTGGTTGTGCTATGTGGGACGCCGCCTCAGCACAGCTTGAGGAGCCGTGCCGTGTCCGTGCCCAGGATCCTAATGCATGAAACCCTGGACCGCAGAAGCTGAAAGTGCAAACTTAACCACTCGGCCACAGGGCCGGCCCCTACTAAATACTTCTGAATGAAATGTAATTAATCAACAAAATAGAAAAACCCACAGAATTCAATACCTTGATGTTCAGGTATTTTCTAAGTGCCAGTTTGTGGCTATTAGATTTCTCCTTCTTTGAACATAGGAAACATAAATTGTTAATAGGGCCATTCGGTCCTTACTCTCCGGGTCTCTGACCTAATTAAGTGATTTATGAACCTAACGGAGTATAGATCCTTCATCTCACATAAACTCTACATTATTCTATGAACTGATGCATTTTGGTGTACAGCAGTTTGGTCAGCACTGACCTTACTTTTCCTACTTTAAGGGAATTTAAGCTTTAATCTCTGGGAAAGGGGACAGAGTTGTAGGACTGAACGTTCTCTCTTACCTTTTCGTGTTGTGCACCGTGGTTCCTCCCAGGACAATCCTCACTCCAGGAGTGGTACGGTTCAGGTTATAAACTGTTAGAGCCTCTTCATAGGTGGCTCCTCCAATTACAAACACAATGATATCCTGAGGTCTGCAATAACGAAGAAAGTTAATATCATGGGATAAGAAGGAAAAAAGGGCAAAGATTTGTTACTATTATATACACAGTTTTGATCTCTAAATCTTTCTTTTTTGGTGAAGGAAGCAGAATTAAAGCAGAATAGAATAAAAGGTTTAAAAAAAGTTTTAATTATCTGAAATTGGCAGGAAGTAGAGCAGAAAATGCTGAATAGTGATTTGCTTTCTGTTTATGAGCGGATGTCTTATAATTTCTGTGCTGTGGATTTCAGAATAGCACAATAGTGTTCGCTGGAACCAAATGTGGCAATATTCTTTCATATTTAAGAGGCTGCAGAGTCCTTCACTGTGACATGATATTAATATAGCAGTAATATATGCTTGTACTACACATCCCCCTTAAGAATAAGCCCTTTGTCAAATACTTAGTACAGTGTCATTACAATGGCCTCTGTCCAAGGACCTCAAAGTATTTTGGAAAGCATTGGCATATTTGGATGTTCCCAAAACATAGGAACTAGAAACATTTAATATTTTGAGTGTAAAAAAAGGAGACACACAAATTAACAGTGCTTCTAGGAACTTCACCTCTTTTTTAAGATTTTATTTTTTCCTTTTTCTCCCCAAAGCCCCCCGGTACATAGTTGTGTATTCTTCGTTGTGGGTTCTTCTAGTTGTGGCATGTGGGACACTGCCTCAGCGTGGTCTGATGAGCAGTGCCATATCCGCGCCCAGGATTCGAACTGACGAAACACTGGCCCGCCTGCAGCGGAGCGCGCGAACTTAACCACTCGGCCACGGGGCCAGCCCCTAGGAACTTCACCTCTTCTTAAAATCTTTGTTCCTAAATCCTTTGATAAACCAAGAAAAAGACACCATGGAAACAAACAAAAAAACCTGTGGGTGTAGTTTTGATACTGGACATGCTGAGACAGCTCAGTCGATAGCCTCATTTGGGCAGGACTTTGTAGTTTCACTGTTTCAATCTTTATCAAAATGGCTTCATAAAAGTGAGTGGTCTTCCTATTAGCTCCTTCTGTAGATATCAACAAGAAGGAGATCATATTATTTTCAAAACTGTTAAAGTTTGCCTTGTTTTTCTTTTCTCATGCCATCAAAAGAAGATAAAATTACTTAATCTTAGTAGGCAGGTAATTTTGTTAAATCACTTATTGGATGTTGATTTAAAACTACAACAAGCAGAAGCATCCATTTTGGAAGTTATAGCACAAAACTAAAAAGAAACCTCTTTAATCAAGAGCTATACACGCCTATGTATAAATTATGGGAAAAAACCCCAAAATTTCCTTTCTGTCTCTCTATCTCTTTCTAAAATACCATGAAGGATTTAACTGAGAGAGTATTTGTTCTTGTGGGACTTCATGGAAACAGAATCAGATACTGCAGCTATTTAAAAATGTTCTGGGGGCTGGCCCGGTGGCGCAGCGGTTAAGTGCGCATGTTCCACTTCTCTGCAGCCCAGGGTTCACTGGTTCGGATCCCTGGTGCAGACATGGCACCTCTTGGCAAGCCATGCTGTGGTTGGTGTCCCACATATAAAGTAGAGGAAGATGGGCACGGATGTTCGCTCAGGGCCAATCTTCCTCAGCAAAAAGAGGAGGATTGGCAGCAGATGTTAGCTCAGGGCTAATCTTCTTCAAAAACAAAAGTAAAAATGTTGTGATAATCTCTGAATTGCCAATACCAAATGAAAGGTTCCCAATGAAGAAAATGAATTACTTTGCAATTATTAGGTAGAGAGTCAATCATGACACTTCCATGTCAACTTGGATCTTAAAATCACGTCTCTGAAACACTAAATTTATTTAAGACAAAATAAGATTCATTCAAGACCACTCACCAGAAACAATGTATTTAATACCATAATGCTTTTAGAGTTACATACTGTTATATATTCTACAATCATGTTTTATTATTTTAAAATGTACTGTTTTTGACTAGGTAAATGTTTGCATGTTGTATAAAATACAAAAGGGTACACTGTAAAAAAAAAAAAATAAAGCAAGTTTCCCTTTCACCTTGGTCCTCTTGCACCCTCATTTCTTTCTAGAGGCAAACACTCTTACTCATGTCTTAAGTATCCTCTCAGGGATATTATCTAGGGGTGTGTGTGTGTGTGTGTGTGTGTGTGTATATATATTGGTCCTTCTAAACTGACTAAGCTGATCACTTGCTTCTCCTTGATATACTTTCTTCACTTGGTTTCCAGGAGATCACATTCTTGGTTTTTTTCCTACTTCACTAGTTGCTATTTTTCAGTGTCCCTTGACGGCCTCGCCTCATCTCCCTAAACTCTTAATGGTGGAGTGTCCAGAGCCCAGTCATCGGTTTTCCTTTCTTCTTGCTCTACAGTTACTCCCTAGATCTGCTCTGTCCAATGCAGTAGCCACTAGCTACACATGGCTATTTGCATTTAAATTGTTAAAATAAAATGAAAAATCAGTTCCTCAGTAGAATTAGCCACATTTCAAGTGCTCAACAGTCACATGCGGCTAGTGGCTACCTTATTAGATAGCATAGATATAGCACATTTTCATCATTGTAGAAAGTTCTATTGAACAGCACTTCCCTAGATGATCTCACCCAGTTTTGTGGTTTTAAATACATCTATCTGCCGATGACTCCAAAATCTGTCTCCAGCCCAGACCTCTCTCCTAAACGCAAGACTTAAATATCTGTCTACTTCGACATTTCCACTTGCATGTTTAACAGATTTCTCAATTCAACATGTTCAAATCCCTACTCTTCTCCTCCAGGCTTTTTTTACCTATAGCTTTCCCCATCTTAGTTGATGGCCATTCTATCCTTTCAGTTGCTTAGGACAAAAGCTTTGGAGTCATCCTAACTCCTCCTTTCTGGCTGCAGTGAAGCATATAAGTTGGGGACACAGTGAGAGAAAGAGAGGGAGAAGTAAGCGGAAGCCAGGTCATGGAAAGCCTTGAATCTTATAGGCCATGGGGCAATCACTGAAGGGTTTTAACAGGTTACCATAAACAAATTTGCTTTTTTGAAGGATAATTTCGGTGCTGTGTGAGAATGAATTGGGGGTTCCTGTTGGGAAAAGCTGGAGAACAAAACACTACTGTAAGACTTCTAGGAAGATATGATGAAAATAGGAACTAAAGAAATACCAGAATTGGAGAGGAAAGACTGATACAGTAGACACAAAAAATGTAGACTCTTCAGTGTGTGGTCAATGATTAAATGTGGAAGATGAGGATAAAGGAAGGGTCCATGACAACTTTAAGTTTTCTGGTTTTGGTGAGTAGGTATGGTGGTTTAGGTCTGAGAGGGAAGAAAGGAAGACTGATTTACTGAAACTAAGACAAAAACATGTTATGTCTGAGATGCCCGTGGAACATTCCAATGGAGATGGCCACTAGACATCTGGATATTCAGGCGTGATGATTACCCTGAATACAGGGGGCAGCTAAAGCCATGGAAATAGATGAGTTCTACCTTGGGAGATTATGTAGAATGAGAAGAAAACCAAAAGACAGAGTTTTGGAAGAGTCTTTGACATCTATAGGATAAGCAAGAAGAGTAGCCAGCAAAGGCAACTGAGAAGCAAATTGTCAGAAAGGTAGGAGGAGACCTAGAAGGGAGAGGCCAAGGGACACAGGAGTTTCAAGAATAGAATGGTTAACGGTGTTAAATGCAGTAGTGGGGTAAATACAGTGAGGACTGAAAGAGACCACTGTGCACATTCTCGCAATGTGATTTTGCAAGAAAAGTTTTAGTGTATCAGAGTGGAGTAAGAAGCCAGGGTACATGGACTGAAGAGGTGAGAAGTGAAGACAGTGACTTTATCCAAGAAGCCTAACTGTGAAGGGAAGGAGATAGGTTAGAGGAGAATCCAGGCTGAAGCGCTTTAAATTTATTACATGTTTAATAGGAGAAACTTGAGGATGCTTATAGCCTGTGGGAAAGTAGTTAGAGTAGGAGAAGCTGAAAATATAGGCAAATAACCAAGAGAAGGGCTTCAGAAGAGATGGTAGAAGTCTAAAACGAGTGCTGGCAGAGAGATTAGTTCTAAATAGGAAAAAAGCATATATTTCCTTTAGAATGGAGGAAGGAGAAAAAGGTAGGTACACGTAAATAAGTTTATAAATAGAGAAGCTGGCCATTGAAGGGGTTAACGTCTGACAGACAAATTTTTTTCTCTGTGAAGTAGGAAACACTGTGTGGGCTGGGGTGGGTTAGGTGATATGGAGAGAAGGGAAACATTCAAAACTGATGCAGAGATTGAGACAAAGATATAACTAAGGATACGTAAAAGTTTGACTGGGTATCCCTGAAGGCCCAAGTGAGGTTAGGAACAATGAATCTGTAGTGGCACTAATCTATAAAGTGCATGATTTCCTCTAGTAGCGCAAAGAAGCAGATACAAATCTTCAGGCTAAATTATTAATCCAATACTAATCTGGTGCTTTAGGCTGCAGGAAAGAGTTTCTTTACCAACTTACAGGAAAGCATTACCACTGTCCATGAATCACTAAAATCTTCTACACTATCTAGCTTTTCCTTCAAGTCCTTGCCTCCAGATACTGGCCAGCTTCCTTTTGTGGAGAAAGGTCATTTGCTTAGGAAGAGCTGTACAATAATGATAGTGATATTTTTCTGCCAAGTATAATGAACTCTCACTTATTCAGCCACTGACTATTCAGGCAAAATACAGGTTCTCTTCTTTGTTTCCAAGTGATATGTGTTGTTTCAATTCTTACTAATATTTCTACAGAAGAGGAAGGAGAATACGAACAGCTAAAACTCAAGTTCAGTTCTTGTCAGGATCTTTAGGGATATATTTCATAGGGAAGGGGATCAAGTAGGCTACAGTTGGCTGTCATTTTAAAAACTGGCATGCGTCCTTGCAACTTTTACCATAGTATTACCCTCATGGATATACACAATTTCATTTTAACACTAAAGTTCTAAGGATGTACAATTTTAATTCTTCCCACTATATTGGTTCTAGAAGTACCAATGATATGAGATAATAATGGCTTCTAAAGTACAGTCACAATGGGTTTAACATTCATTAAAGGATGAGTTCTGTGGGAAAAAAAATCCAACGCTGTAAGAATGTGCGGTCAAGGAGATAGAGGACACTCTACCAATAGTTTACTCTCTGCTGTGACTATCTGGGGGTCAGCCTAGATGGAAAACAGAAAAAAAAAAAAGGTAGTTACAGCATTCAGATAATAAAATCCTACCACTGAAATGAGTTTTTCTCAGAAAATGAGTATTTTTTACAGTCAGATTCCACATACAATGCTCTTTAAGCTGAGGGACAACTCTAGCCTGAGACCAATTATGCAGTTTATCTTGAGTAAACACGCACGAATTGCACAGATTATTTCATTAAGAAGAAGAGAGGAAGTTTCTCCCTTACAGGGGGTATGGTGACTAACAAGAGGAACCAAACAGTAGCACTTTTGTTTTGAGCTCCTGCTCTGATAAATCAATTTAAAAAGCAGCTAAGCAGACTAATGAGGATCATCCTAGAAAACGATGTTGCTTCTCCATAGCTGCCCTCTGCCCCTCACCTGCCTCTAGAGTACATTTGTCTCTTATGGAAAAGAAAGGCAAGAACTGGGAAGGAATAAACTCAAGAGAGTTTCTAGCACAGCCAGAGAATGCTATCCTTTAGTCTGATAATTTCAGGGTGACAGAGTATTTCTGTATTACTGGAGAGGGAAGAAAATGCCATGAACGGTAACTGTGAGTGTAGGTTATATTAACGTAAGGACAAAACCTGGATACAAGGATAGGCTCTTAGAGCTTGACTCAGTTGTGTACCTAGCAAAGATGACTATGTCACATTTGGTTATGAACATTAATAAATGTTTTCCTGAGCCTCCTACTACTTATTCAAGTTGGCTTAAGGAGGAATATCGATAAAATGAAAAAAAAAAAAAACCACGACATTTTTCCTTTTCATTCCTTTCCCCAGTGAATTTTAAAACTAGATGTTCTGATGAGGCCAACAGTAAAATATACAGCAAATCATTTTTATATGATAGTTGAAGCTAAGTGGAACACACAAGTTCAATTCTTTGTACACATCTTCCTGTGCTCTGTAATTCACCATAGCAACCAAAGGCATTAATTAATGCAGACAGCAAACATTAGAAAACAGCAGCCAGTTCATGCTGTATACAGATATACAAGGAAACCTTGAGAACCCAATCAATTTACATCTTATTTTATTAGAAAACTACAAAATTTTTCACATACAGTATTTCTGGAAATCATTATTTCTATATGTAGATAAGTACAGCAGGAAAACAAACTTTTAAGAGGAAATATTTTATCTACTTTGTCGACCAGTGTAACTATGGCTAAAATTCAAATTTTTGAATATACTTACAGATGGTAAAGATCTTATGAGCATTTATTGTAGGAAAAAAGGCCAACGAGAAAGGACCGCTGCTTTTACAGAAATAAAAATAAGCTGCAGCAACAAGATTCTACTAAATTTGTGTAAATGTGAAAAAGTACTTCCTTTTTGAATTGGCTGATTCTGGAATGTACAACCCTCATCAAATGTTTAAGCTGCTTGTTTTTATCAGGGACAAGAAGCAATTCTGGAGTGAGAAAAAAAAATAGCCTGATAAATAGGATATGTGGGAGTCCCGTGTGCAAGAGAAAGACAAAACCCAATTTGTGGATATAGCTACAATGCCAATCAGGTTGACTGCTAATTTAATAGCTAAGGGCTACAAAACATTTCTATAAGTGCTCCTGGTTTTGCACAGTTGTTCTTGACACATTTCCTTTGATACTTTCTAATATTACAATAACAACAAAACCAAGAAGTTCTAGCATGATGAGACTTCAGTTATCATAAAGATGACTAAAATCAATGACTCTTCTCAATGTGATGATCCAGGGCCAAGAGAGGAGCTAGAGCTGAAAGTGGGATGCAGAACCAAAATACCACATAGGGTTACTGGCAAACTGCAAAAAACCTAAATTTTCTGGTAACATCAACCAAATTTATTCTCTAGTTTAAATTTTCCAACTGTAAATCTTATATTGACTGCTATAGATGCCTACATAAGAAATTTGACAAATATCTGTTGAACACCTATTTGTGAAGCACTGTGTTAAATACTGTAAAAAACCCCAAACATTAACAAAACATAGTTCTTACTGCAAGATTACAGTACTTAATACAATACCTAATAGGAAGGATAGATACGTATACAACTAACATGTATGTATCTCCATATCCAGAGATAACCACTATTAACAATTTGTTTATTCTTTCAGAAATATTTACTGAAAACATATGTGCTCGCACGTATATATTATATACATATTATGTATATATGTATAGTCAGGCAGAAACTTAATTATATACACATATGTATATAATCACATTTATGCTTATATACAGTTTATTTTACACAAAAGGTGTACTATAGCATCTGGCTCTTCTATCCACTCTATCTTAGAAAGTTTTGATATCACCCCATGAAGAGTTATGCCATTTTTAAAGAAGAATGCATAGTATCGTACTGTAATTTATGTAACCAGTCCTCTACTGATGGATATTTATCTTGTTTCCATTTCTTTCATTATTACAAATGATGTTTCAGTGAACATTCTTGTTTACATGTCTTTGTGTACTTGTGCAAGTATATCTATATGGCAGACTTTTAGAAATGGAATTGTTTAGTAGGTTTTTTCAAGTCCTCTGTAGTCTTCCTTCTGTTAAGCAGGGCCAGGAGGTGGCGTAGATATCTTCTGCGCTCCTCACTATAGTTTTGTAACCATTTCTCTACCTTCTTCAAAATGTTGACTGTCTTAGATGCTCATGATATAGTTTTGTCCTAACCTCTTTTCCTCTTTTCCTCTTATTCTCTGAAGACTTTAGCTCTGGTTTACTGTCTTCCTTTTCACTCCTGCTTCTTTCAAGATTTTCCGTCACTTTAACATTAATGTGGATTACTCATCTCATATCCTGGCCTCCTCACCTACACTCATCTGTTCTTCCATCACTCACAATCACAAACTTCCATGATTATAGCATAAACTTTTCATTACAAGTATCTGTACTATGACATCTTGAATTCAAAATCTCTTTCTCCTATAACCACCTCCTCAACTTGTAATTCACTTACACTAATAACCTCTACTGTAATAATTCTTTGACCTCATCAAGACCGCCAATCCACTCAACAATACTTTTTTTTCCTATCCAATACTGTCCTCCTGTTTTCATTTCCCCAAATCCTAGCTGGATCCAGCTATCAGCCTTCTCCTCATTTAATCTAGTGCAGCTAAAAGTTGCTAGAGAAAACCACACAACTAGGCTCATGGGCTGTATTTTAAATTAATGACTGCAAAACTCGAATAGGCACTCAATCTTGCCTAGGAGTCTTACTTACATTTATCTAGTAAATTCGATTCCTAGCCTACAAGATGACAATTTCACAGTGTTTTCTCTTTTCACCCCCTACGTTAGCTGATAACTTGGTATCATATTTTATTGAGAAAATAGAAGCAATCGGACAAGATGGACCCCATGTTCTCACTACCAGCACCATTAAAATAAAAGAAGTACCTCTGCTCCTATCAAAGTCTCCTCTGCTTGTGCTGTGGATCCCCTAAAGACTTCACTTCTGCAGCTCTTCCTCTTTCACTTCTGCATTAGCTATTTCTCCTTCTTTAAGATGATCTTATCAGATTACAAATATGCTCTAGAATCTCTCTTTCCCTTGAGCCCACAATCTGTTCCAGCTATCATCCCATTTCTCTGACCCTTTCATGCAAAACTTAAAAAAAAAGTTAAACATTTATCTCCATTTTATCTTATATCCTGTAACCCTCTCTAATTTTGCTTCTAACCTCACTGAAACTGGGGAATAAGGTCACCAAAGACCTTCATGTTGCCAGATGGATTGTTGTCTGATGGATTCTTCACTGTTTTCACCTTCTTGGTCTTTATGACACCATCTTCTCCTGGTTTTCCGATCTTTCTGTCTCCAACTCAGTCTCCACTGCTGGTTCCACATCTTATATTCAATGCTCAGTCCTGGGCTCTCTTCTTTTCTCTTTCTCTCCTCTCTCCCTAAGGAATCTTATCTAGTCCCATGGTTTTAAATATCACCAAAATCTTGTTGACTTCCAATTTAGTATCCAACATTTCCACTTGGTTATCTAATAGGCACCTGCAACTTAACAACAGAACTCTTGATTTACTCCCTAAACCTAAGAGTTTTTCTTGATTTCTCTCTTACCCTTGTCCCATCAATCTACTCCATTAAATAAGTTTATTGATTTTACCTTCTCTCACAGCTTCCTTATCTAAACCACTTTCATTTCTTACCTGGACTATTGCAGCCATCTCCTAGGTAGTCTCCCTGCTTCTATTTTTTGCCTTCAATAATCCAGTCTCCCCACAAGGTGATCTTTTAATACATAACTCATTTCATGTCACTTACATGCTTAAAGCTCTTCGATGGCTTCCTGTGACATTTAAGATAAAAAAATCTTTACCATGGCCTGTAAGACCCTATGTGATCCAGCCTCTACTTATCTTTCCAACTTATTTCCTCCTTCCTCACTATACTTCAACCACACTGGGCTTCTTTCTGTTCCATGAAGTTGCCAAGTTCTCTCTTTACTCAAGGTCTTTGCTCCGGCATTCCCTCTGCTTTTTCTCCTAATCCTTATGTAACTGGCTGTTTCCTGTAATTCAAACCTCATCTTAAGTATCACTTCCTCAGAGACGTTCTCTCCATCTACAGTAGCCCTCCCTACCTCTATAAAGTTACTTTGTAGCTTATTATCCTATTTATTTCCTCAAGAGCGCTTATTCAAATTATATTCTTTCTTTCTTTGTTTACTGCTTTATTGTCTGTCTCCTTTATGTAAGTTCCTTGAGGGCAGGCATCTTGCCTTTCTTGTCACTCTATATCCCCTGCATCTACAACAGTTCTTGACTTATTAAAGGCATTCAATAAATATTCGTTATATAAAAGGATGAAGCAATTGAAGTATTAACTACATACGTATTTTAGGTAATGGTGACAACCGCTAACAGAATGCTGACAATGTATAAACGTGCGTTTTGTTGGAAGAGCATTATTTTGAACTTTGTAAATGAATCACTCACATTAGGAAGGTCTGCTGTCGTGAACTAATCATACACAATATAGTCTTCTGGTGGTCAATGGTGTCCTATAGGCAACAAGTAGCCAATTTCTTGTTCAGTAATTCTTACATGAAATTCATAAAAAGTAATATTTTTACTTTTATCATATTAATTAGAAGCCTATTTAATAGAGTTAAACTGTTTTTCAAAAAGCCTCTAAGACAGGTGAATAGCTATGGGCTGGTTTTCATTCTTCCCACTTAGCTGACATTTCTGAATCTTGAAGCCAAGGTCCTTGACCGTTGTATCTGAATGAGTGTACTCACTGAATTTAACCCCAGATATTCTGCCTCTCAACTTTGGACTTTATAAAAGATTTCTTTTTCTGTTCTTTTACCAAACTACAGAGTTTTTTTTTTTTAAAAGGACAAAGTGAAAAAATATACTTCATCATATAAAAGAGTCATCTATGTAGCTCAAAACATTTTTCCTTTCAGAAATTCATTATATTTACAAAACACTATTCTTCCAAGGCTCTCAGATTATGATTAGCTGAAATAATAGAAGAATTATACCAACAGTAAAAATTCTCACATCAATCTGTGTAATAGGATTCAGTTACATATATTCAGCTCTTTATAACATGGTCCCAATAAAAAATATAAAAATATAATTTATAACTGGGTAGAATTTGTGTATATTTAAAATTTCAGGTTGCTTACGTAAATTGTTTTGGACAAGTTTTTATTAAAACTAACACACCACTGGATTAAAATGACAATTAATTGCTTCCTTCAGTTAATACTCGAAAAGAAAGCCATGCTTTTCTCCTATGTAACAAATGGGCTTTGTTAATTAGGTCTCAGTTTGTATGCTAGCCACATTTGGCAAAGTCCAGTCCTCACCCAAAATAGTAACAACCTGCTCTGGATGGCGATCAAGTAGCAAATCTATTTTTGGCTTTAATGTTTGAAACTCCAAATGCCAGATGCCATGGAACTGAACCTTAAATGGCATAAGTAAACTGGTCTGATACTAAAGGACAGAATAAAAGTATTGTGGGCACTCCAAAATAACTGCTTCTTTACTCTGAAAGAATTAATGTTTCAGGCTTATCCGATGAATTTATATCTAACCTTGACACATGTAAAACTAAAAGAATCTTAGAAGTGAAACAACAGGGGAAGGAGGAGCAGAATGATATAATCTTAGTTGCAGTTCCTTACATTACTCTAAAATTTCTATTTTCTTAGTGTTTTGGCTTTTATTACTAATATCTTTGTTATCTTACCTGTCTCTGAGTGTGCTGGGACCTAGATAAGGGTACAGGTTTTCCTTAAGCTTTCCTTTGATGAGATGGTCCAGGGTTTCATGTAGGAAAGGTTGATGCTGAGTATATACATTTTCTACTCCCTAAGAGAGGGGGAAATGGTTCTTATGTCATTTTTGGGAAATTTGAAATATAACAGTTAATGATACTCACAACAGAAAAGAACATGCACTCAATAGAGATTTCTTGGGATAGATTCAAATGGGAATTTTATAACTAAATAATGCTAAAAATTATTTTCACCAATTTAGAAATGTTCCAATATCATAAAAATACTCTATAATTTAAGGCTAGCTATTATAAAGGAATATTTAAAATGAAATTGCTTAAATCCTTTATCATCTCTTCATTGACTTTCATCCTTTTGTGAACATATTATATGACAGATAAAGCAAATAAAAAGAAAGGACCATGTAGAAAAGGAGACTAGAAACACTCAGGAAAATGGAAAAATTTCAGGAAACATAGGAAAGGCTAGCAGATAAAAACGAATTTTTAAGAAAATTTTAAGAAAATAGGTTAGTATTTTCAGAAGATCTACACTTGTTTGCTTCATCTTTAATTTCCTTCACAGAAAAAACTACCAAACAAATCTTAAATTATAACCAAATGGAGTAAAATAGCTATGACCAACGGAACTGTCTGTCTTTTTACTCTTGGGTATTTCCTGGAAATATCTCATTATATCCTGCTCACCTATTTGGTCCAATGCTGAACGCCATTCCAAAATTGCAAGCATGTAAATAAAAAGCTTTCAGGAGGACATCTGCTTTAATTTCATTTAATTGACATAGTACTAAATCAGTAGCAATCCTGAAGTTACTTTGGAGATCATATTCATTCACGCTAAGTCTCATGGGCTTCAGCCATTTCTCACTTAGGAAAGCACAGGGAAAATGTCATACCTTCAGTCCTTTGAGGAACTGTTTGGTAATAGCCACCGCGTCTTTGGGGCTGAAGAGGTCACTTCCTCTGACCCGTTTACCACCATATTCAACAAGTGCAGACACAAGCTATAATATAAAGAGACACAAGCTCTTATTGTCTGGAGATCAGGAAACTCATTTCATAAGAAAATAACTTCAGTAAGGAAATAAAGACATGAGAGGACAGAATTATACATTTCTGTGAATAAAAACAGTATGACATCTGGATGGACCTTGAGGAAATTATGTTAAGTGCAATAAGCCAGCGAGAGAAGGACAATCTGTGTATGACTCCACTCATATGAGGAATTTAAAATTATGGACTAAGAACAGTTTAGTGGATACCAGGGGAAAGGTGGGGTGGGGGGTGGGCACAAAGGGTGAAGTGGTGCACCTGCAACACGAATGACAAACATTAATGCACAACTGAAATTTCACAAGATTGTGACCTATCATTAACTCAATAAAAAAAAACAAACCAAAAAAACAGTATGACATCATTTGTCAGAGCTAAGAATATAATAATAGAGTTGGGTCCTGTTTGGTGGGACTAATATATAAATTTGGTTACCTTTCGATACTTTTCAGAAACACCTTTATTCCTGAGGTCCATCATTAGTCCTGGTAGGCTATTGCTGCTGTGTCGCTCATAATGTAGAGCATAAAGCATCACAAGGCGGGCAGCATCAAATTCTGTCACTTTGGGGTTCTGCAGGAGCCGCTTTACATTCTGAAGAAAGAGAGAACTGATATTTATCCCCCCTTCACTTGAGTAATGTATAATATATTAGATCTAATAATTATTTGAATGGCAGTGATACATTGAGTTCATGACTAAGATTACTACTATGGCAACGTGCAGTCATAGGTTTAGCAACTGTTTCAACTAGAGAAAGTGAAATGCCTTTTGCCTAACATAAAAATTAAGGAAATAAATTTCCATTGTAGTTGCTGTCAGACAAAAATGAATTTAACTATGGATAGTTCCTCTTTTCTTTCCTTTGATGAGATGGTCAAGGGTCTCACGTAGGAAAGGTTGCAACTTCCTTACTAAAACAAGGAACATATGCTTTTTCTATCACTTCAATCAACAGAGCTCACAACAGAACTGACCAGTTGACTTGAAAAACTCTACTGCTTTCTCTTAGCATTAGTGATTGACCAGTGAAATGGAGACAAGTTGGTAGAATTTTACATAGGAGGACTGGGCTTAATTTCCAAGAAGCATCAGATGTAACAATATGTCTGAACATAGTTTACAGAGACGTAAGTATGTAATTGCATGTAATCTTTAAACTGAATACTTATGATCTTAAGAGGGCAGGTACTGACAGCAAAGGAAGCCAGACAAAATCATGTTTAGGTTTTGTCAATCCTCACATTCAGGGACTTCCATATAGTATAGATTTATATTAATCATGCAGCAGAACAAATTAATTCAAGCCAACAAATACTTTTGGAGCCTGGCTCTAAGCATAAGGCACTATCCCAGGGACTGGAGGGGACAGAGAGATGAGTTAGAGACAGTCTGTCCTCAGTGAGTTCACAGACAACAGGGTGAAGGGGGATGAACTAAGTATAGCCCATTCTGCTACAAAGCATGCTTCTTTAATGCACGTTAGCTCTATGAGATTGGTAAATACGTATCAGTTTGACACAGAAGACATATTGCTTTATGTGTAATTTTTCAGCATGTTAATATTTAGAAGAGACCAGGGACAAACTTCTCTTTAAAGAGGAAGCTTGACCTAAATGTTAAGAAAAAATGATGAAAATCCTACAGAAGTGTTTTCTCTAAGAAGTAGCTGGTTTCCTAGCTTTAAGAAGGGCAGTACTTTCCACTATGTTAAGCTATCTGGGGAAAAGTCAAGTGCAAATGAAAAGGATACAAAGCTATTTCTATGTTAAAAAAAAAAACAAAACTAAACAACAACAAAAAACTGATTGATATCTCCATATCATATTTTAAATTTTGATGAAACTAGTCTCCATGAGAAGCAAATGTTTTTGAGATCTTACATCTTGACAAATAAAACGTGAGCCCTAGGAATAAGGTCACAAAGGATGACTACATATGTTCCTAGGTGCAAATGCCAGAGGAGATTTTACTGTGTTAGTATTTTTATTAGGATTATTGTTTTTATTAGGGGTCTGATGAAAAAGTTATAGATTTTTTCTTTTTTTTTTTCAGTTACATAGACTTTAAGTGATCTGCTCATAACCCTATTTTCCCATAACGCTTGTTTATTTTTAGTGCATGATTTTGCAGAATGTGAGGTTTTTCGGGAACACATGTGGTATTATAACAGAAACATATATATGCAAAAAACAAAACAAAACCGCAAAATTGAAAATCAGTGCAATGGGGAGAAGGGGACACAAAGTGAAGAGAAATATATCTGGTTGTTGAGGAATCAAAGATGACTTCATGAAGGAGGTAAGAACTGCAAAAGACCCTAAAGATTCAGTAAGTGTTAGAATTAGTCTGAGAGAAAGAGGAGATGCTATTAATAGGAATAAGGAAATCAGAAAGAAATGGGTTGGGCTGAAAGACTGGCAAGAACCTTGGAAGGCACTGGATTTTGAGGACATAAGAACTAACAGCTAGTATGGTGCTTTACGACTACAAGATGCTTTCACATATATTATCTTTTCAGTACTTCACAACAACCAGATCTAATGTCTAAGAACTCTTCTGTTCACACTAAAGAGGAAGTCTGATGAAATGGGGAATCTCCCAGGTAGCTCTCAAGTAGAAAGTTCTCTGAGCAGGATTCCTACTGTTGCTTTTCCCAGTTAACGTTTTACTAACATCGTCCTTAAGGGATCTAAAAGGAAGAAATTTCTCCTCTACAGATTTAAACCCTGCAGTCATAAGAATTTCCTTACTTTTTTTCCCTTTTGTGGTACCTTTTCCACAGAATACTCACTGAATACAACCTATTTAGAATATCTGTTCAAATGTTCCACTAGTTTCTACTATAATATGAAGCAACTTCAGGGTGCAAATTATTATCAAGTAAATACATACAATTTCATATGTATCTCAATCCACTTGACATAAGTTTAGAACATGCATCTGGGATCTCTGTTGTCACTTTTCTTTTAGGCACAGTGTTTTATTTCCTGCCCTTGTAGTCATTTCCTTTTTACCTTAAATCTACTCAATTTCTGGCTGACCTGTCTCTGTACTTTTAAGCAAATCTGAGATACTCAAGAAAATATAAGCCCACAAAACTGGTATGGGGATAGTTAAAGACTATTTGTAGCAATCAGCTTGTACCCTTCCTACTTGCTCCCTTTCTAATTATCTTCATTTCGATCTTGACTTTTGGCTCTGTTTCCCATTAAAGGCTCCACATTCTATTCCTTGAGATTTGGTATTGGTATTTAGAGTCCCTGGCTTGACTTTTAGCTCTCCCTCAAGGACTTGGCCCAGATCTGATCCAAGATTACTTTGAGTAGATTACTTCCCTTATTTTTTGAGCCCTTAGGACCCAACCCATGGCTCAGGTCAGTGTTTTGGCTAGACTTGTTTATTCTCTCATAAAAGGAAACCTGTAGGTACAAGCTGAGCTCTTCCCTTTCTTTCACTATATAAGTCCTTGAAGAAACATGACTTTTTTTTTTAAAAAAGATTTTATTTTTCCTTTTTCTCCCCAAAGCCTGCTGGTACATAGTTGTATATTTTTACTTGTGGGTCCTTCTAGTTGTGACATGTGGGATGCCTGCCTCAGCATGGCTTGATGAGTGGTGCCATGTCGGTGCCCAGGATCTAAACCAGCAAAGGCCTGCGCCGCTGAAGCGGAGTGCATGAACTTAACCACTCGGCCATGGGGCCGGCCCCCGGAAACATGACCTTTTTGCCTGCCTGGATCCCATGCTATCCTTTGATGTAATTTTGAACTACTTCCCTCATGGGTACCTGACTCATCAACTTGACTGACAGTGGCATACATTATATTATGATTCCAGGGTACTAACCAGAGAAGAGGAGAAAAAGAATCTGAGAGACTGCTAATTACATGGCAGGTATGTGCTACGTGGTGGTATTTACACGTTGGAAATATGACTGAATTATATAATGAACTTTTTGGTTTCTCTTTTCTTATTAAATAAGGCTTGAGGCTTATTTCCATAAGCCTTGAGACTATCAAGAGAGAAAAGTATACTGTCACACAACAAAAATGGCTGAGTAAAGAGCAAAACAGGAAACTACTGTCCACTTAAGAAGATACAATTCAAAAATCTTCCTCTGAATTCTAACATTTCTGTAGGCCTAATCAAGGAATAGGAAAAGAAAAGCAAAAACACTGTCTTTGAAGGTCAAGTTTCAAAAAGGAGCTAATGTTCACCCAAAAGACATCAATTAAAAAACAAGTCTTTTCTGATAGAAATTCTTGTTTTGGGCTGACTACTTTTCTGTTTTCTTAAACCAAAACTATGATGAAGCAGCACAACATGAAAAAACTTTTATAATGACATACTTACATTTTAAACCATTGTACAAGTTACAGATGAAGTCAGCAACTAAAGAGTCTCCATTTTTTGCTTTAATTTAACCTAAAGAACAGGATCTCTACCTTGTTATCTATTATCACATTAATGTAGTAAAACAGCCCATGACCAGCATTCTAAGCCCACAGATGAGAACAGTAAGATGGAAGTGGCAGAAGCCTTCAACATGCTGATATGATAAAAAATGGGTCTAATCTAACAGTTTGAGAGAACAATGTTGTGGGACTATAAAGAGCTTATCTAGGAAAAATGATAGAAAGTAGGCAGGACCCAATTCTACCGACTGGTAAACATATCTGAGTCAGTATTCTTTTTCTTAATAGTTAGTCAACATAAAATTTAGCTTTGCTGTAGGTCTTCTGCTGGTCTACATCATTTCTGAAACACTGGTTAAATTTTGGTTTAGAGAGAATAAGATCATTTTTATTCTTAAATGGTGAAAGTAAAATTGTCAGCTCAATGTGTCCCAAACAATTTTCTTATGATTATAATGAGAAGCAAAAAAACCCTTCTGAAATCAGGGAGCGATCCAAGGTCATTAGTGGACTAAAAAACACGTCCTGGATGCCAGAAAAAAAATAAAATGTACTGTCAAATAATAATACTGATAATGGTGTTAGTTAATACCTGTTGAATGTTATAAGTACCAGGTACCATATTAAGTGCTTTATATGTATTAGCCTATAGCACCCTCACAAAAATCTTTGAGGTGAGTACTGTTATTTTTCCCCATTTTACAGACAAAAAGACTAAGACTTAGAATGGCTAAGAATCGTTTTCAGGGGCTGGCCCCGTGGTGTAGTGGTTAAGTTCGGTATGCCCTGCTTCAGCAGCCTGCGTTCATGGGTTTGGATCCCAGGCAAGGACCTACACCACTCCTCAGCCATGCTGTGGTGGAACGCACATACAAAATAGTGGCAGACTAGAAGGATGTTAACTCAGGGCTAACCTTCCTCAAGCGGGGAAAAACAAACAAAAAAACGAGGAGAGATTGACAACAGTTGTTAGCTCAGAGTGAATCTTTCTCAAAAAAAAAAAAAATCATTTTCAAATCCAAGCCATCACAAGCCAAATTTCTCAGCCACTACTCTATACTGCTTCCAATAGAACTCTTTCTCTTCATTTTTCTAACAAATATTTATTGAGTCTTTTCTGTGTCATTAATAGGATGATTTGAGATCTCTTACCTAAGGTCAGGAAAGAAGCATAGTCTTAAAATAGACTAGTTCCTCCTTCTAAATGAAAAGCTGTGATATGATGACACAGGCAAAAAAACTGCTTACTTTATGAAGATGTTTCTCTTCACGGTATGAAAAAAATCTTCCTTACTAATCAAATGAGTCTTTCCTGAGGTTATGGATATGTTTCAATGATAGTACACTGCAGTTTGGTTCTAGTGAAATTCTTCTAAACCAAATTCTTGTTAGCCTGTAGGATAACTGGTTAGAAGTGGTAGCAATTTACAGGTTAATTTTTAGTAATATACGAGTTTTTTTTCTCACCGTGATACAATTTCTATTCAATAAGGCAAACCCCATCTCTACTCAAAAACCTCAATTCATTGCTTCATGACGTATTATCACCTAAGGTCAAGCTAAGGAATGCTATAACCCATGTAGAGGTCAGGCCCCTGGCATCTACTCATTATCAAACAAAAGTTCCCTTTATAGACAATTTAAATCATGTTGCCAAAGAAATCCTTTATAATGGAGGAGTCCCCATATAAATCAACTGCTTACTGTAAAACCCCAATTCTTTGGGCAAGAAAACCTTCAAAAGACACTTTTCTAAAATATAAAGTGGATCACAAATGGAATTCATATTCTACATTATCTATTTTTCTTTTAAAGTAAACAAAAAATAAGATTTCAGGCAAGGAACTACAATGATCTTTTCTGACTGCTTTCCATATGGTAGAGAGATACAAATAAAGATACTAAAATTGGCTAGTGATTGTTCGGTTCTATTGGTTTAAAGGGGGAAAAATGATAAGGAAACATAAGGATATTTAAATTTAGTTTACAGGACAAAATTTTGTTTTTATTTAACAAGAGAAGAAAATTCATTTTATTGAGAAAAATAAGTTTTTATAGGAATACTTCTACTAGGCCCACAAAACAACTACAAACTGTTATTGGCAGTGTTGTTTAAAGTAAGTTGGCCAAGATAAACAGATTGTGATACATCTTTACAAAACATTGCTATATAGTGATTAAAAAGAATGTGTGTTTAATTTCTGGTCTGGAACAGTCTCTGAGATACATGGTTAAGTAAAGAAGCAAAGTGTAGAACTCTGTGTAGACTACAGTATCATCTGAATTTAAAAAAGAGAGGGGCGTGCCCAGTGGCGCAGCGGTTAAGTGCGCACATTCTGCTTCAGCGGCCCGGGGTTCACCAGTTTGGATCCCGGGTGCAGACATGGCACCACTTGGCAAGCCATGCTGTGGTAGGCGTCCCACGTATAAAATACAGGAAGATGGGCATGGGTGTTAGCTCAGGATCAGTCTTCCTCAGAAAAAAAAGAAAAGGAGGATTGGCAGATGTTAGCTCAGGGCTAGTCTTCCTCAAAAAAAAGAAAAAAAGAGAGATACACACACATGGGCTTGCACATATACAGAATAACTGTAAGGATGCATATGAAACTAGTAGCAGACTCAGTTTTTACTATATATCTCTTTCACCGAGTACTTAATTATCTGTTTAAAAATTATAATTTAATACAAGTAAAAAATAATAATAAGTGAAGTCAGCCTGAAAGTTCTCTGTGAAGATTTAAGAACAGGGATAAAATTAAAAATGATGACGGAAGTATTTTTCATAAATATAAAGCAAATTGCACCTTTATGATCTTCAAATGATACTGTTTTCAGAGGAAATCTAGATAAACATCTTAAAAAATTAAAAGCCAACAGTTACAAATTCCAGTAAGACCTTGGTATAACTAGAGCAACCACAGGAAGGTGGATTTCTTTCTTTTGGTTGTATCATATACTTAAAAAATTATGCTTAGAGGAACTAACATTTACAAAGCACCTAATATATGTGAAGCATTTCATATATCTCACTGAAACCTAATACCAATCTAAAGGTTTGAAATCATTATCCCTGAGGCTTGGGCAAAGTAAGTAATTTTCTCAAAGAAATGTCAGTATGTAGAGACAGAATATTAGCCAGGACAGTCTGCTCCAAAGCCTGTGTTGTTTCCATTACACCATGCTGGCTTTATCTTATAAAGCAAAGTAGCTCTGCAGCAGGGAAAGAAAAAGAGCAAGTTTTAGAATACACGGCCCTACGGGCCAGTCTGGTGGCACAGCAGTTAAGTGCGCACGTTCTGCTTCAGCGGCCCGGGGTTCGCCGGTTTGGATCCCGGGTGCGGACATGGCACCGCTTGGCAAGCCATGCTGTGGTAGGCGTCCCACATATAGAGTAGAGGAAGATGGGCACGGATGTTAGCTCAGGGCCAGTCTTCCTCAGCAAAAAAATAAAGAGGAGGATTGGCAGATGTTAGCTCAGGGCTAGTCTTCCTCAAAAAAAAAGAATATAGGGTCCTATAGGAAATGTGCTACTTATAATAAATGGCTTAGAATGGCTATCTCCCAAAAGACTCTTATTCCCAAGTTACTTATTGTCAGTGATATCATATTTTGTCTCAGGAACCTTGGAATTATCTCTGATTTGTTCTGTCTTGTTATCCTTATATCCAATCTGTTACTAAATTGTTGTTTTCTCCCTTTGAAATGTCTCTCAGATTTGCCCTTACTGTACATTTTTACTATCACTGAGTCTACTAGCCTCTCTGACTTCAGTTTTTTCTACCTCTAACGCATCCTTACTAGATTAAATTTCCTAAAATACTGCTTTCATCGTATCAGCTTTCTACATAACACCCTAAAATGGATCTCTTTGCCTATCTCAGCAAGTACAAATTCCTCTTACAAGCTTCTTCATAAACTGGTTCCTGTTTACCAGCTCCTCTCCTGTTTCTCTTCCACACCCACTCTCAACAGGTCAGACTGTTTATTATTTTCTGCATACTTCTGCATCTTTGCTTTTACTGTTATCCCTGACGGAAATCCTCCTCCAGATTCTATTCATTCTTACAGTCCATCTTAATATCATCTTCTCTACGAAACTGTCCCTAATAACCTCAAATTGTACTATAGTCAGTATCACAACTTTGACTTAATATTATCTTGAAACACTACCTAATTGTTTCTTGTGCTTTAGTTTTTGTCTCTTCAATTATACTGTAAATTTCTTGAGGCCAGGGTCTGATTATGTCACTTTTCTTCTAAAATCCTCTGGTAGCTCCCATCACTTTAAGATTAAAGCCCAACTTCCTTTCAACAGCCATAACCGGGCCGCAATCTTCCTTTCTGGCTTATCTAAGACCACTCCTCATCTGGTACCCTGCATTAGCTACACTGAATTATTCTCTGTTCCCTTAATTTTTTTCCCACATCTCCATGCCTGCATTCTCTCTGCCAAGAATTTTCCCCCTTTTCTCTGGTTGGTGCACTCATATTTATTTATTTGTCCAGACCCAAACCTAATGTTATCTTCTCTAAGAAGCCTCATCCTTAGGGAAAACAGTTGTCCTTCCTCTGTATTTCCATATCCCTTTGTAAATACCTCTAGTATAGCACTTAGTGGATGGTATTATAATTCCTGGTTTAAATTTCTTTCTTCCCTACTACAGTGTGAGCTGAGGAAAAGGATGGTATCTTATTTAACTTTGTACCTCTAGAACCTCATAGCACTATGTACATGTTTGTGGAATGAAAAGCTGATGTTCAATAATAAAAACCTTAGACAATGAATTTTAATATATATTATATTGTTAAAGTCTTCCTAACAACCCTGTGAGATAAGTATCATTATAACTATTTGACAAAAGACGAAACTGGCTCAGAGATTAAGCCAACAGCTCCAGGTCACAAAGCCAGTAAGTGGCAAACCAAACACTAAAATCTAGATCTTCTGATTTTAGTCTAGTATTCTTTCTAGTAGACTAGGCTACCCTCCTAAATACTGAATTAACTGCCTGAACCCTTTGGGATTGCACATTATTCTTCTCCTGTGGCTCTTATCATGTATCTATCTTAATATTAATTTGTGTTCTTGTTTTAACTCCTATTAGACTGTAAATCCCATGTTGGTGAAAGATTACTTGCCTTTGTTTCTCTTGCTCTGCCTGGCATAGTGACTTACATATAGTGGGTGCTCATCAAATTGGACTGAATAGATACCTGGAGGGCACTAGAATGGTCATTTTGACAGGCCAGCTCTTGTTCAACCTCCGAAACCTCCAGCAGATTCCGCTCACTGACCAACCGAGACAGCTCTCCAACCACTGTCACATGCTTTGATACAGTTCCAGACATCTTCTTGAACTGTGGGTAATTCTCAACAAAGGCCTGCCATGGGAAAAACATCAATTGGGGGTTCTATTATTTCTTGACTGAGGATAGGCACGTATGAAGAAGGAAAAAAAATAAGCAGGGATTGTTATTCTGTCCAGACTAAGTCTTACACAACTTTCAATTACATGGCGTTTTGTTATGCTTAAGAAAAGAAGAACTGGTATATGTTAGTAGCCTATCTTTAAATCGTCCAGATATTGACGATGTAAAGAATGGAAAGAAGCACATGGCTTATGATGAAGTTTTCACCATATTGTTTCCTAAAGAGAAATATTACAGAAAATAATCTCAAACCAAACAAAATGAATCAAGGCAGAAATCAGACCCAGAATATTCCACAAATGTTGCTTACACGAATAGTTCCAAAGTCTTGCATGTTAGTCATCCATGTACATGTTCAATTTACCTTCATGTCTGCTATTGATTCTAGTTTTTGCTGTTCTTTTGGTTTCTTCTTCTGAAAGTCTTCCATGAGATTCTTTATATTGCTACCAATCTCAGCAAAGTTCAGGTACATATTCTGTGAAAAAGGAAGTTGGAAACACAGTTCTATCAACTAATCTGACTTTCAGACAATTTAAAAGAAGAAGTGGGGGCCGGCCTGGTGGTGTAGTGGTTAAGTTTTCATGCTCCACTTCAGCGGCCTGGGGTTTGCAGGTTTGGATCCCGGGTGCAGACCTAGCACAGCTTGTCAGGCCATGCTGTGGTGGCATCCCACATAAAATAGAGGAAGATTGCTACAGATGTTAGCTCAGCAACAATCTTCCTCAAGCAAAAAGAGAAAGACTGGTAACAGATGTTAGCTCAGGGCCAATCTTCCTCACACACACACAAAAAAGTATTAAAAGAAGAAGTGAAAAAAATAATCCTGAATACAGTTACAATTGAAAGGCAAGAAGATTCCATTGTAATTACCAAATCTGGACATTGGCCAGGACTCTGGTGATGAATACCATTACTGTTTTCACAAAAGGCTACAGAAGGGAGGGAAGCAAATAAGCTGGGTTCTAATTTTTAAAGTATAAAACTAAATATGTCATTTCTATGAAAAAAATATTGTTCAAGGGTCAGAATCCAAGTCTTCTGCCTTCCCATGAGATGCAGTTTATCTATAGGATGCCTCGATCATCCTTCCACATGAAATCCCATACCTGCTCTCATTCTAACAAGTCAATATTGACCTTCTTACGTAAAAACAACTAAAAACAATTAAAAACAATTTTTTTAAATCACCTACGTTAGCATAGAATTCATCGTTTTCAGCAGATAGGACCACCTCTCTTAGGTCTTTACTGATCCCCGGCACTCTGGAAAGATCAATCCGATTGTTGTTTATGCCCAGTAGTTCATGGACCATGGCCTGATATGTCCACTAAATAAAGAGTTATGACAAAGAAAATTGGTAACTGACAAAACACGGGAATAGTAAATGTTCAGGAAAACAAATAAAAACTGGTAACATTCTTAGTAACTAGTCTTTACATGGAGGTTCTCTATTTAGTTGAAATTTTATTAATACTTTGTGCTATAATAAGCATTAAGACTGTCATTCTAATTGGTTAAACATTCAAAAGTCAAAATACTTTTAGATTTCACACTTTTGGAAGAAGGGCAGCAAAGATTAATATTCCTGATAGAAAGGAAACAAATTAGATCTATCATTAGCTCCAATTTTTGCCTGTGTGAATTAAGAGTATATTTTTGGCTTCACAGATAGGGCTATATTGGTACTGCAGTTACAAGCTGTACCATTTCCTGTACGCTTCTGTGGTTTTCTGCAGCATGAGAAGTGTGCTCTTGCAGATCTGAGTTGTGCTATATTTGTCCTGGAAACACTAATATTATCAGAAAAAACCTTGTGAGTTTATCAAAACACTCATATTCAGAAGCTTGCCTCTGAATCTATTTTATTATATATTTTTACTTAAAGTGAATTGGTGAAGGATTGGTTTCCAGTCGTACAAAATGTGAACTTATTTGGTAAAACCGGAAAGGAGAAACTCCAAATTTTGGCTTCTCACCATTTATGGAGAATGGGTTACTTTTAGTCATAGGCCCATTAGACAAAACTAAGTATTTTCCAGCAAATTACCCTCTAAATCTAGAATCTAAATGCTATAAATATTTATATATGTATACTTTACCTTAAGCAATCTAGATTTATTAAGAAATAACTTGAGGTTATAAAAGCAGTTTCTTTATTTACTAAAATAGTTGCCAAATGAATCCTTGAAAAAGCAAGTTTTATTAGGGCATTTGAAATAAGTACAACAAAATGTTTTATGCTTCCATAGACAGCATCCTGTCCATGCTTCTGCCATTAGCACTTACTCTATAATTAAAATTATCTGTTTACTTCTTTTCCCATTGGACCATGAGCTCTCTGAGAGCAGAGACTGTATCTTTTAACCTTTTATCTCCAGTACTTAATATAGTGCCTGACACATAACAGGTCTTCAGTGAAATTTGTTGAATGAATGGTTGCTTTTCTTTGGGAAACAGAATTACAGGCAATCATTTTTCTTTCTACTTTTTTGTATTATCAAAATCTCTTTAGTGAATATATATTACTTTGAATTTTAGAAATAAAAAGCTACCATATCACAGAGAAGTTCCATTCCATAGCCACAGATTTCCCCTAGCATTAACATTATTATAAGCTGGAAAAAAACTGAAATATAGACTGTGCTGTGCCTGTTGCTACAAATCAAAAGTCACTATTAATAAAGCACCTACTATGTGCAAAGCACTGTGCTTGAACTTGCAGAAGAACAAACACAGGTACGACACAGTCTGCCTTGAACCTAGGAGAGTGTAAAAACAATCAAAGGTACAACATAGCAAGTGCAGCATGAGACGTAAAGAGAGACACAAAGTTCTGTAGCAATTTTAGAGAAAAAAAGAATGCTTGAAAGTTGAAGGAGACGTTTTGAGTGGTTTTAAAGGAGAAATATTATGATAGGTGAAGATGGGAAGAGAAGATATTTCAAACATTCCAGAGTTTAGACAAAGGTCACAAAATGAATAACATTATGGTGGAAACCATGTGGCATAGCTGCACTGTAGTGAGCTGGAGGTTTCATATAAGGTTGGGCCTACACTGTGAAAGCTCTTGGATGCCAAGTTCAGGAGTCTGTATTTAACCCAGTAGACGAATGGGAACCAATGAGGATTTTTAAACCAGGAGTAATAGGATCAGAACTGTGCTTTAGGAAAAGTAATTTAACAACACGGCACCTATGAAATATATTAGAGTGGGAAGAAATTAAAAGTGGGGGAATCAGGGGCTTAGTGGTGTAGTGGTTAAGTTTGCACACTCTACTTTGGCAGCCCAGAGTTCGCAGGTTTGGATCCTGGGCACAGGCCTACATACCGCTCATCAAGCCATGGTGTGGTGGCATCCCATATACAAAATAGAGAAAGACTGGTACAGAGGTTAGCTCAGCAATAATCTTCCTCAAGCAAAAAGAGAAAGATTGGCAACAGATGTTAGCTCAGGACCAATCTTTCTCACAAAAAAAAAAAAAGTGGGGGAATCAAGTAGATGACTATTTCAGTATTCCTACAAGAGATTAGGGTCTACACCAAGGTAATGGCAGTAAGAATGGAAAAGAGCAGACAGACCCTGGAAAAGTAGAATTCACAGAACCTAGAAGTTGCCTTGATTAAGGGTGGGGTTAGTGGCAGAAAGAGACAGGAAGGATGAGGCAGAAGAGAGTCAAAGATGACTGTGGCTGGAAGAATAGTGATACCAAATACCAGGAAATATAAGGCAAAAACAAGAATAGCTGAAAATAGGGAAGCAAATAAATGGACCATGCTGTTCATTTCCACATCTGTATTTTGATGAATCCCACTTGAAATCTTCCTTCTATTATGCTAACAAAGGGTTCTGCACCTGGTTTAGCAATGGGGTGATGGCATCATCGCAGCGATCTAAAATAAGTAGCAATGGAGGAACCTCAGTCCGCCGGAATTCAAACAGTTCATATTCTTTAGTTATCACTTGCTGTGGGTGAGAAAGAAGATGGTTTGGTCAACCAATTAGTTGCAGATAGACATGATATAAATAGGAAATTAATACATAAAAACCACATTTAACAATAGTTCTTTGCACCTTCACAGGCATTCCATAAAAGGAATCAGAAGCTTGACAAAGTTTACTAGCATTCTATTTAAGAGGTTAGGATTTGAAACTCTATTTTACAAGTGGTTTAACTGGATCAAAAGAAGTTAAGCAGCTTGCAAATGTTTCTTGGGTTAAACCTAAGAATCTTAGCTCTGATTTGGTGCTTTTGGGTTTGAATTACAAATACCTACCTCTTTGCCAGTAAACCTAACACATTATCTCCTTGGTTGTAGATAAAATATTCCTTTAGTTTTTGAAATATGATAAGGAAATGAATGGTTTTGATGTTTTGGAACTGGGGATAGGGAATGCCATACCTTAACACATTCTGCAAGTCTCTTTGCTGCCTCTGATGAAAGCTGATAACGAATCATGGGACATTTCTTCAGAGATAGAAGGAGCGCTGTCAGTCCTTGAGTTGTTCTGGATAGCTGGGCTGGATCCCAATTTCGACCCTTTTTGTTAAAAATGTATATTCAGAGAAAATATTTGAATTTTTTCTTACAAGTCTAGTTACTTGCTGAATTATCTCCCACCTGATAGACTTTTTTTTAACCCTTTCTTTCATACCTGGCAGCAACCCAAAATATTGAGAGAAAATAAATGTGGATTCACAGCAATGTAATCACCATAAAATTCCTGCAAACAGAGCACGAAGACCAGTTAGTCATTCCATAAACTCCAACTGTATCATGTAGTAATACTTTCATATGTGATATAATCAAATTTGAGGAAATGCAGGTGTAAAAAAGATACAAAAATTGATCAATTAACAATTGAGTAGCAATACTCAATGTGGGAGTTAGTAAAATAATTATAAAAGAGCAGCGATTATAAATCTTTAAAAAAAAACCCAAAAAACAAAAGCTGTAGAAGTATATACATTATATTTCTGGAGACCTCTATGTACACTTATCAATTAGTAAAAACAAAACACTCCTATAGGATATACAATGTTACACTCAGAAAAAGAATTTTGCTGTTCAGTGTATTCTCATGAGGGAGAATATGATTTAAAATAGGTCATTTTTAAAATTCATTTATCACCTAGCACATCCTTCTGAAAATTCAAAACTTGTTTATTTGCTGCCCTGAAGAGAATATTCTTCACTTATTGATAAACATGTCTAAATGCTTGTGATAAATGTATTCAAGAACCCTAAAGTGTCTAAGAAGGGAAAGATAATATGCTATGTTCTAAGGTGATGTATCAGGTAGCACATAGAATAAATATTTAGGAGTTCCAAGTTTCAACCTAATGACAAAAGTCTGCTTATTACTTCCCAAAGCAAGATAATCACAAACAGAACTTTAACAAACCTCATTCACATCCTTTACTTCCTATTCTCTCCCAATCATACACAGTCCTATAGATGAACATTCTGATATTGTGGCTTATAAAACTAGCATAAGACATATCTGACTCTGTCCCCAACCCTGTGAAACACTTCCTACCAATCCAGTAGCATTGAGTACTGGTCCAATCTCCTTATTCCCATTGACTCCTTTAATTCTCTTCCCATCCAATTTGATACCTCTTCCAAACTTTCTAAATGAGTATAGTCTGGTGCAATGCACATTTATTGTGTCTGATCAAGTCTCCCCTCTTTTGAGACAGCACCTCCCTTATTTTTAGACTGAAATTTTTAAAGAGGGCCAATGTAAGAGATGTGTTAGAGGATCAATATGTTTACCTGAACCTCAGCCACAACTTCCTGTTCATCAGCTTCAGCTAATGACTTCACATCACTCTTGCTGATCACATTACTGAAATCTGAAACAGACATATGAGTTGTGGTTTACTCAAAGGAGATCATCTCTGCTGCAATTAGACATAAGTGGGCCTGACTGTTAAAGCCTAAAGACTAACTGAAGTTTAGTATACATTGTGGTATATGTCAAAGTCAAACAACTTCAAATTGGAATGAGTAGCACAAATATATTTAAATCCATAAATTCATAACAGTCAAAAAAGAAAAGGGGCCACCATTGTAGGCACTGGCAGATGCTAGGGAACCAAGTTATTGAAAATAGCAAATAAAGGAAAAGAAGTAAGCTTTTATCTTTCTGTATACAAACTGTACCACCAGATAACCAAATAGTAGATGAGGGAAAATTTCTCTTTATAGAAATATTCCAGATAAAAAACAAAGAAGGAATGGTAACGATAGAATTAAAACATCATCATCCTTTTTTTCAACCACTAATGAATCAACAGATGGACTTAGGCATTGAGTATCAACTGCTGCTAATATCACAATAAGAGACAATCACCGAAGCACACAACACTACCTACGAAGTATTCTGGCCAAAAAGAAATCAAACCTGAATCTAATTAAGCCTCTATATCCAGATACCAATTTACAGGAACTAGAGGACGGAGGAACATTTTAAACTGCAAAGAACATGTTAAACTATCCCAAGGGATGCAATCAGCAAGATCCAGCTGTGGGAAACTTTAACAGAGCAACGTAGTTTCTTCAATAAATAAATTGCACAGGAGAGAGAAAGAGAGAATCTATAGATTAAAGAAACGTAAACAACCTATCAACCAATAGCAATGTGTGGACCTTACTATGATCCCGATTCAAACAACCAGTGAGAAAAAAAAAGACGAGAATTTGAAATTTGAACACCGAACGACTACTTGAAAATAGGAATTATTTTTTGTTATTTGGATGTACTAATGGTATTTTTTTAAATGAGTCTTCATCTTTTAGAGACGCATACTGAAATATTTGTGAATGAAATCATATGCTAGCTTACATTTTCTTCAAAATAATATTGGTGTGGGAGTAGGTGGCAGTACAGCTAAAACAAGATTGGCCTTGGTGCAGTAATTGTTGAAACTGGGTGATGGGTACATTGGGAGTTATTATGCTATTCTGTCAACTTTTGTATGTATTTTAAAATGTCCATAATAAAAAGATTTTTTTAATAAAAGGGAGGGGCTTGTTATACAAGATATTTAGTAGACACAAAAATATGCAAAAATAAAATTTAACAGGCCAGTTTAGTGCTAATATAAATTGTGATGAAACTCTGTAGTGAATAAAATTACTATATACAAACTCATTTTAGTTTATTTCAAACAGATAAAATTGTGAAATTGATTGCTCCACCCAAGAAATTTCAACAGTCTATTTTTCCTAGGCTTTAGTGCTAACTACTTTAATATATATAATTTTTTCTTCTATTACAGAGATTTACAGCCCGATTCAATCTTTAGAACCAGAAGAATAAATATTAGATTTATTATTTGTTATTAATCTCAACCACTGTATCAAAGAACTCTATTTATTTATTTATTTTTTCTGCTTTTTCTCCCCAAGTCCTCCCCAGTACATAGTGGTATATTTTAGTTATGGGTCCTTCTAGCTGTGGCATGTGGGACGCTGCCTCAGCATGGCCTGACGAGCGGTGCCATGTCCATGCCCAGGATCCGAACCAGCAAACCCTGGGCCACTGAAGCGGAGCACGTGAACTAGACCACTTGGCCATGGGGCTGGCCCCAAAGAACTCTCTTCAGAGAAAAAAGGAGTCCTTCATCTCATGACCTATTCAATTTTTAGCTAAGAGACTCAGCAAGAGTGACTCTGTTAGGTGTCCACTTAAATTTGGCAGCACAGGGAATCTCTCTCTCTCTCTCTAGGTATGTTACCGAGTACAAACATTTCTACACTTTCCTAAGATCCAGCTTGTGATCAGACTAAAAAATACTGGAATGATTACACACTTATCAGAATAGCTAAAATGAAAAGGGACAACACCAAATGCTCATAAAGATACAAAGAAACTGGATCACCTGTACATCGTTAGTGGAAATGTAAAATGGTATAGTCACTCTAGAAAATGTTTAGCAGTTTCTTAAAACACTAAACACACAACTACGATATGACTTAGCAATTAGTCTCCTGAGCATTATTTATTACAGAGAAATGAAGATTTATGTTCATACAAAAACCTGTACATGGATGTGTATAGTAGCTTTATTTATAGCAGCCAAAACTGGAAACAACGCAGATGTCCTTCAATGGGTGAATAAACAAACTGTGGTACATCTATACCAGGGACTATACTCAGTAATCAAAAGGAATGAACTACTGATACAAAACAGCCTGGATAAATCTCGAGAGAATTATGCGGAGTACAGAAAAGCCAATTCCAAAGGTTATATACTGTATGGTTCCATTTATATAACATTCTTGAAATGACAAAATTATAGAAATGGAGAACAGATTAATGGCTGCCAGGGGTTAATGAGGGGGTTGGGGTGGGAGAGAAGTAGAGTAGTTATAAGAGGGCAATATGAGGGATCCCCATAGAGAGGGAAATGTTTTGTATCTTGATTGTATCAATGTCAATATCCTGGATGTGATAGTGTCCTCTAGTTATGTAAGATGTCACATTGGGGGAAATTGGGTAAAGGAAATATGGGATCTCTGTATTATTTCTTACAACTGTATGTGAATCTACAGTTATTTCAAAATAAAGTTTAATTAAGACAGAAAACCTGTGACTATTAGCCAAAAAAACAAAACAAAAAACTAGAATGACAGAAACTAATAAAATTGCCTATTTTTACCTGTTGAGATTGTTGTAAGGGCCAAATGAAATAATACATGAGAAAGTTCTTTATAAAATTCAAAGTCTTATCACAAATATTAATTTTTGGTATGGTTACTAAATTGCAGTACATGCTGAAGAAAGTATGTATGTGTTAGACTATAGTCTAAACTCTAAAACTTCAAAGCCTTCAAGTAAGCTTTAAAACTTCTCAAGTGCCCTACATACCGATTGTTAAATTTTGTCCTTTGTTTTAGAAACAGCATCGAATAAACTATACTAATTCTATAAAGATCAATAATGACATCTAGAGGAGAAAAGATGTAACGTCCAAAGCAGAATCTATTACATCACAAAACCTTGTACATATTGTATAGTAATCACAAACCTAATTTATTTCCAGGACTCCCTCTCGCCCCCAAAAAAGTTATGCACATAAGAGATATCTACCTGATGACTTGTACTTTCAAGTATTACTTAAAGTAGTGAAGAGAAGTGGTATATTTTCATCTGGTATGTAAAATGAATCTCTGCTTTTCCAACAAACTCAAGTATATCCTCCCTCCAAATAAATAAATCAGCTTCTAGGCCTCAGTTTATAAAAGTGTAAAATAGAAGTAAGTATGCACTTCTTTTGTAAAGGTGGGATGTGAAATCTGGCTACTTACTACTTTTGATTTTCAAAGAATCTTAAGAGGCAAAGTAAAACTTAAATTTTTTTTTTTTACCTAAGCCATCAATGATGAATGGAAATCACATTTAGCTCTCTCAAACAGAATGTTGGTCATAAGACTTTTAATACTTCAAAAGGACATAAAAAAAAAAGACGCTTATAGTGATGGATTCAATAAACTTATCGATGACATGAAGTGCCCAAAGAACATGCTAGCTAGGATAAAGTTACATGATTGAATAGGTGAAACAACACACTTACAAATAAAATATATACTGTATTTGGGTCTTCGGAGCTCCTGAATCAGATAATCCACATTCTCCTAGAAAAGAAAGAACAAACAAAGTATGAGCATTGCTTATGCGAAAAAGCAATAAATGTCCATTGATTTATTTATTTAACTATTTACTGAGAGTCTACCGTGTGCTGAGGTCTAGATTAAGTGTATATATGTTGGGGGGGGCGGTGAGGGCTGGGGATGAAAAAGAGATACATTAAATTTAATGATCAAGAATCATATATAATATTAACTAGCTGTGCTACCTTGGTCAAATTAACATTAAAAAATAGGAGTTGGCCCCGTGGCCGAGTGGTTAAGTTCACACGCTCCACTTCGGCGACCCAGGGTTCAGATCCTGGGCGCGGACATGGCAGCGCTCATGAGGCCATGTTGAGGTGGCGTCCCACACGCCACAACTAGAAGGACCCACAACTAAAAATATACAACTATATACTGGGGGGATTTGGGGAGGAAAAACAAAAAATAAGAAGTTGGCAACAGTTGTTAGCTCAGGTGCCAATCTTTAAAAAAAAAAAGATTAAAAAATAGGAAGGACACAGATGTTGAAATAAAACACAAAATTGATAATAATTCTGAAATTTGTCTCAAGCTGCTTGTCTATAAATTGTATTCATCTGATAAAAATTCTTATATGAAATATCAAAATATGCTTAGCTCTTTAAAAACCAACTTTCAAGAGAAAATATAATTATATTCACTTTGGCTTTTAAATTGTTGGGACCTAAACTCTGTACAACTGCAAGGTTTGTAAAGTATTTGCAAACAGCAGCTAAGACTTCTTCTAAAGTTACACAATTTTAAAATAACATATGAAATTTAGAAGTAAAAAACAGTTGATTTTTATATGATCTAACCATAAGAATTCCAATTGTTGCTGTTAGTGCCCTCGAGTCAAGCGTTGACTCCTAGCGACCCTGTGTACAGTGGAGCTGAACTCTGCCTGGCCTTTGTAAACCATCCTCTCATCTTTGCAAGCCATATCACACAACGCCCCGCTGCTATGCATAGAGCTTTCACGGCCAGTTTTCTTCAGAAGTGGACAGCCGGGTCCTTCTTCCTAGTCTGTCTTAGTCTGGAAGCTCCACTGAAACTGTCCACCATGGGTGATCCTGAATCTGCTGATATTTGAAATACCAGTGGCATGGTTTTCAGTATCACAGCAACACACAGCCATCACTTGGCTACAGCATGACAACCGACAAATGGGTGGTGGTGTGGTTTGTGTGTTTCACTGATTGGGAAACGAACCCAGGGTGGGGCAGAGAGAGTGCCAAATCTTAACCACACCACCAGGGCTGGCAAGAACTCCAGTTACATAAGATCATAATGCACGTTTTTATCTATTTTTGATACTATAACACATGATTAAATTTCAATGTAAATTAGATCCCCAAAGTACACGATATAAAAATATCATTTTTGAATGTTAGGAAAAAATCATACATTTCCTTACAGAATTAAAAGTAATATAAACCACACATATTGCTTGCTAAATGGGAAAAAGGTTTTTAAAATTGTCATTTAGATTAAAATACATTAAAAATTAACTTTATAATATAATCTTAAGAAAAAATTGTTTTTAAGAACATATTTTGAGTTCGAGTGAGTGTATATATAGCTGTAAAGAGTTTCTCTAATAAAAAATGTTAGGAAAATGATGGACTACATCTAGTCCATACTATATCTCTAAGATCCCTCTCAGAACCAAAATTTCATGACTAAGAGCTACAAATATGAAACAACTGGAAACTAGTATAAAATATTACTAATTAACATATTCATTAATTGAGGAACTACTGAGTATCCACTACGTGGCAGGCATTGGGGATATAATAGTGTGAAAAAGCAGATACCATCTCTGCTTTTATGGAGCTTACTGCTGGTAGGTGAGAAAGATATTAATTAATCACACAAACTATATAAAACTTCAACCCTGACAAACAACAGGGAGAGGAAGATGGTGCTATAAGTCCTTATAAGAGGGCGGGGTTTGACCTGGTCAGTAATGCCAAGGAAGATTTGCTTGAGGAAGTGAAGAAGTTCCAGGCAGAGAGAAGAGACTGTGGAAAGGTCCTGTGATATGATGTAATACAGTGGACTGAAAAATTAACGTGGCTAAATGCAAAAGGGGGAATGATTTGAAATGAGGCTGTAGAAATGGTAGGAACTAGACAACACAAGGCATTGTAGGCCATAATTAAGTTTGTCTTCATCATAAAAGCAATGAGAATTCATTCAAGGATTTCAAGCAGGGGTAACATGATCAAATTTATATTTTGGAAAGTACATAATGTACAAGCATGGTAAAAAGAGTACATTGGAGTTGATGAACATGAATACAAAGCAAGAGAATATACAAAATAAGATTGAGGGGCTGACCCGGTGGCGTAGTGGTTAAGTTCATGTGCTTTGCTTCGGCAGCCTGGGGTTCACAGGTTTGGATCTGGGTGTGGACCTATACACCACTCAAGTCATGCTGTGGTGGCATCCCACATACAAAAGAGAGGAAGACTGGTAGAGATGTCAGCTCAGCGCCAATCTCCCTCACCAAAACAAACAAACAAAGATTGAAATAGCTAGGATTTTTAAAGGAGGACTCAAGCTAGATTTAGATGATGAATGAAACTGATAGAAGGCTAAAGAACCTTTAATTAGGGGAAGAGAACAGAGGACAGGAATGAGTATGTGGAGGGATGATAAAAGGGTCTAGGTGGCTGTAGTGGAAGAGCAGAGGTAGGACATAGGAGGTCGGATACGTAGGGGCAGACTAGAACAGCTAAAGGAGGGCTTTGAAGCTTGGGCTATTAAATATAGATTTAATAATGGAAGTAAAACTGAGTCATTCTAGGTTCCTGAGCATAGATGTGAATAAAATGATAAAGACTTAAGACACTGATATAAACATCTAAGTATCTAAGGTTAAGGGGCAATGGTGTTCAGTGTGATAGGTATGGAAGTTAATCCAGGAATAAAGTGATGTGGGTCTCTGTTATGGAAGTTAGTGGCTTTGGAAAAAGCTGAGAACCTAAACAACATCATCAAGAAAAAAACTGGCTTTTTCCTTGAAAAACTGGTCAGGAGTGAACTGAGATGTGGAAAGCGGGGGAGTCAAGGTTATAACTCTGATAAACCAGGATAATTATGATGCCGCAAATGATAACACAAATTTATTTTGCCTCCTTAATGCCTTCAGATCACGTGTTCTGTATTTGCCTGGGCAGATGGCAGCTCAGTTTATGTAGTACCTTCGTAGGTCGAAGAAAACAAATTGCTTTCAGGTGTTTCATGATTTCTCGATTTTGAGAATCAATGCGTTCAAAAAGGTATACTTCTTTCTGAAGAATCTCCGATTGTGTGTATACCATACTCACTATGCCAGTCTGTAAAGAAGAATTAACTAATATTATGACGGTCTAGAATAATAAAAACAAGTAGCAATATCTACGACTTAATTTTTTTTCATTAATACTTAGCTGGATAACAAATATTAATATAAGTAATAACATTTACTGCATCCAAAACATGGAGGCAACGTACCAGAATGAAAAGCATTCTCTCTCTGAACACGGAAAATTCATAAATTTCCCACCAAATGTTTTCCGTCATCTTAAAGATTTTTTAAAAAAATTCCGTGACCAACAAACAATAACCTATTATCTCAGCTTGAGCCCCAACAGCCTTACTTTAAAAATACAACGCTGAGTGGAAATAATAGGACCATCCCACAGTCTTCCAAGTGCTCTGTCTCACATAGTATTTCGTGGCAGAGACATTTGGAAAAGGATTTCTGACTTCAATACATTGTTCGGGTACAAGAAGAAATCTCGGGTAGTAGTTAGAGTCATTTAGACCGAAAACCTACTGGGCAAGCTTTATACAACCTTTCAGTTCCACACAGAGCTGACCCTCATTTAAAAACTCTTTAATCAGATACAAAATCCTACAGCGGAACGGGACCGGCTATTGGAGGGGAGGGAGGGTTCCCTCACAAACAAAAACTGAGCAGAAGCAAACTCACCGTCTCTTTATCCATGAGAAGTACTTTCATACCCGGCCCGCTGTCCTCTATCATTTTGGAAATGTACTGCTTCACAGCAAAAACCACATTCATGGTGGCAAACTGACAGGTTAGCCCTACAGCCCTTCCCACCCCCTCCGGTTAAATTAACCCCCAGCCTCTTGGCCCCGTCTCAGCCGCTTCCTTTCCGCCCGGCACTGGCTTCCGGAAGTCCGGGCGGCCGCGGTGGTGGGAGTTGTAGTTCCGCTGCGCGCCCGGGGGACCAAGCCTCGGGGCGCCATGGCAAAGTCGGGCTGAGACATTTTGGGCCGCCACACCCAGACGTGATTCTCTACCCGCCTCCAGCCTGGACGTGTTTGAGGCCCGGACTCTAGGACTGCTCCAGCCCTTGGTCCGGGATGCCCCGGCCTGGCCCTGAAGTCCCGCCCGCTGGTTTGGGGAGAACGTGGCGTCAGGTTGGCTCCGAGGCGAGAAGCGCGGAGCGTGGCCGTGGTCACAGTTGGCCATGAACGCTTTCTTGGGTGGCAGTGAAGGGTGAAGGGAAGGGAGGTGGCGTAATGCCGCCGGACGCCCGGGACTAGGAGGGACGGCATTTGGCAAATCCTACGCGGTGTTTGCTAAGTGGTGGCCGAGAGTCGGTTTCCTCGGCCTCGTTGGGTCGTTCGCAAGGGAGGCCAGTGCCCTGCAAAGTGAGGCCGCACTGGTTTTCTCAAGACTGAGGGGGCGTCCGAAATGGAACAGATATTTGTTGAATGGATGACTGAACAAAGGGAATGCCTTTAGGGATGTTTTGGGGGAGCCCTCGGATCCGCACGAGGGCCTGGAGCTGGGGTCGGCAGGCGAGCCTCGCAGCCCGCGGGTCCTGCGGAGCCCGGAGCGACTCCGGGCCCGGCGTCCTGGGCGCTCGAACTCCGCGGGCTCCGACTCTCGCGGTGCTGGGGACCTCGACGCTGCAACTGCGGCCGGGAGCCGCGTTAAGGGAGTCTGCAGTGGGTAGGCAGCACGTGCCCGGCGGGCTAAAGCAAAAGTAGCGTGGGGATTTTAAGGGAAAATTTACAAAGTTTGATTTAAGAAACGTCAAAAACTTAGCAACAAAATGAATCTTAAAGCCATCCACTTCTAAATGTCTGTATTTGTGTTTATACCCCGCAGGTCTTCTCTCCCTCGTACTGTTTCTCGAAAAGGAGGGTAAACAGTTTTCCGCACCTTTACGTTGGGGAGTTGTAAAGTCAGTAAGATAACAAGAAACAACTGCGAGAAATCAGTGACTGTAATTGCTTGTAAATATTTCCACCAAAATAATGAGTAGTGTTTGATGGGGTCAGTTTAATCAACAAGTTCATTACCAAATCAGTCGTTCTTTCATTATGTTGTAAGAAGTATACAGTTAAAACTAGACCCAGAGCACGCTAACATTAATCTGGCTGTTAAGACTACTTTATAAAATGTTATATACAGTGTATTTTCAAATTCTTTAAGCGATCAAAACCCACTTGCTATATAGATTTTTTTTCATCTGAAATTGCGAAAATTATTTTCTCTCCTTTTCAGTTTTTCTACCAAGTAACTAAAACTTCGCATTGGGCATTTTTTCTATTTTTGAGATATGTTTTCAAAGAAAAGTTAGAGTAGAATGAAAATGAGAATCTTTGGATACAAATGAGAAAAATCTAATGTTATATGAAAATTCTATTCTTAATCAATTTGAAATGTTCATATGTTACAGAAAACAGCAAACCAATGCTTAATGAGAAATGAAACACTTATGAATCTTGTAAGTTAACCAATATTTGAAAATTCACCTCCCCCCTCCTGTGTCACTTCGTTTTTGTTTTCTTACCTATAATTTGGACTTTAGTCTAAGATTGTGTTCCATTTTATGTCTGTTTTAGAAAGAACAAGGAGAGAAAAATTTGTCCGTGAACTTTGTGCTTTTTTAGACAGTAGTCAATCTGTAAGTAGTATGTGGAAAGAAACTACATCCTTTTGATTATTTATACTTGGACAATTATAAATTTTAAAGGAGGGCGAAAATGCCTATTTTGATAAGGCTTACTAACTCGTTCCGTTGCCATGAAATTCCATTGATGTCAGTGGCAGTGTTATTTTATACATTGATAAGATGTGGAATGTAAACATTTTGTACAAAATAGTTATATATTTAAAGTAGGCTGTGATGGTCTGGAAATATCTCCAGATTAAGAACTTCTTTCTATCCCCATACCTCTAAAAATAGAACTGAAACTAATGATAAAGTCCAAACTCTTGCTTTGTGACTCATCTGGGATAAACCCAGAGTGACTTGTTTTGTTATAGGCAAGACACAGCAAATTCAGAGGGCAATATGAAGTGCCCTACTTATGTTTTTTTACTTAACGTGCAAATAAACTGTATTAACAAGAAATATTTTCAATAATTAAGACTTCAAATTTAAAAAATAAATCATGACATTCTTCAAATGTGAATGATTACATCAGTTGTAAAATTTTCTAATGCAGGCACTTGAAAAATTTATTTTCCCTGGGTCTAAGAAATCTGCTTTGAGGATAGAAAACAAGACGTTAAAAAAATACAGTATTTACAGTTGTACATTTTGTTTAGACTTGTAAATATGTATGTCAAGGGAATAATCAGTAATGATTACCTGAATAATTACATGTGCTTTAGCTTCCTACAAAGTGTGTCCTATTTAGTGATTTAACTACCCATTTTATATTTAATCAAAATCCTGTTTTTCCTCTATAAGAACTCAAAACTTGATATAAAACAAAGAATATGTAAATAAGCTTCTGTATAATTATAATAACAATATGGCCAACTCTTAGTTATCTTAGATTATTAATTGTCTACCGTTCTTCTTGTTGCTATGTGTTAAGATTTCCCCAACAAGCCCTGGATGGGAGGAAAGTAAAGATGAAATTCAGTGAAACTCAAATTAATTAGATTTTCCACTGGTTAGCAATTGAAAAAATATTTGGAGAAAGAATGACAGTATTGCTAGCATCAGACAGTCAGTCCTTGTGCAATGTTCTTAGCCTCTCTAACCATTTCTCATCTGATAAATGGTGATAATATAATCTGCCTTATGAAATTGTGAGAATTAAATGAAATGCAGAAAAAATGGCACATAGTAAATGTTCAATAAATGTCAGCTTTGATTATTTGAAATCAAAAGGTAGACAGATCTTTTAGCTTATTGCTTACTTATGATGTATTTAATCCCCTTTGATAAGAAAATTTAAAAATAGAATCAATTTCAGTATTTGTAAACTATAGCTTCCAAATATAATTTCCATAATAACTTTATCTTGCATTACTATACAATAATGGAAACATTAATGGGAAGATTTGGCCTGCTCCACCATAATTTGTAAAGCATACAATTTTCACAAAGACAAAACTTAGGACAAATATGCTTCAAGTGATTTCAGATGTTTATTGCCTACCAAACTCAGAATTTGTTAGATTTTTATCACAGTTGGTGGTTTAGTACTGAACTTTGTGGTAGCAAAACTACTGAAAAGTTTTACATCACTAAGTAAAAATTATTTGCAGGGCTGGCCTGCGGCCTAGTGGTTAAGTTCAGCGTGCTCTGCTTTGGTGGCCCGGATCCCAGTTATGGACCTACACAACTCATCAGCCATGCTGTGGTGGTGACCCACATACAAAACAGAGGAGGATTGGCATGGATGTTAGCTCAAGGCTAATCTTCCTCAAGCAAAATAAGCAAATTGGCAACAGATGTCAGCTGAGGCTTAATCTTCCTCAGGAAAGTAAAATTATTTGCATGAAGGGTTCTGTCTGCACTCAGTAATTTCAATGATTCTGCCTTTCTGGTGGTGATGTTAACTTTGATCACTTGGTTTAGGTGGTGTCTGCTGCTTTCTCCACTGTAGAGTTACTATTTTTCTCCTTGTAATTAATAAATATTATATGGAGAGATGCCTTGATGTGTTACAAATATCCTGTTTCTCATCGTAATTTCACCTGCTAATTTTAGCCAGAAGGCATTGATGGTTCTTGCCTGAAACAATTGGTGTTTACCTGATGCTAAGTATTTTCCTCATTTGTTCTGTAGTTATTATTTGGAATTCTTCGGTAAAAAAGAGCTATCCTTTCCCCCCATTTATGTCAGATAGACTTATGGATATTTAAGAAAATTATTATCTTAAGCCGTAGGAAGTATATATAGAGGTTGAGAGCGCAGACTCTGGAATCAGATGACCTGGATTTAATTATTCTGTGTGCCAGTTGCGGGACTTTGTCAAGCTACGTAACTGCTCTGTGCCTTAGTTTCCTCATTTCTAAGTGGAGAAAATGACCCCCACCTTAGTTTGGTGTGAGAATTAGGGGAGATAATACATGTAGTCTTTAGGCTAGCTTTAATTACTCTTTCTTAGCAAATATTTTGTACTGTGCTTAGTTTTACTATTTATAAGTTTCCCCACCCACAAATTGAATATAAAAAATATTTGTCATGTGCTTGCTTCCCTGAGAAATTGTTAAAATTCACAAAATGAATTTAAAAGTGCTTTGTGGTGTTAAGGAGATGTATAAGTTCTTATTTCTGAAATTATATATGTATATTGCTAAGATCCGTTTGGTGATCATGATTTTGTTCTTGGGCTGTTCTTTGTGTTAGAAATGTAGATGACTATAAAATGTGATAGAATTATTTTTTACATTTTAGATGTTTCAAGAGAACAGGCAAGCTACATGAAGTAAGTACCAGAAAAATGTGTGTTCTTATAAATCCTTAAATTTCATTAGTGGTAAAGTAGTCTTAATTATATTTTTTATAATGAAATAATTCCTGTACAAATGGCTCAATATTGACTTAATCAAGCATTTGGTCAGGGTCACACATTTTTCTTCACTGGAGAGAACATTTAATGTTGAAAAAATAAGATACAAAATATTTTGTTTACACATCTTTCTATTTGAAGCCAATGAAATTTAATGTAGGATGTTGTTACTCAAGATTTCTCTTAGTAATACTAATAAATATAAGCAACCACCTTTTACTGATATTTTACATGTGCTGAGCCCTTTGCAAAGATCTCAGTTAACTTTTGCAACTTTGCTTTGAGGTGAGTATCATCTCCGTATTACAGATAAACTGAGGTTTAGATAAGTCGGCTAATTTTCCTAAGGTGACACAGAAAGCAGCAAATGGGAGAAGCCTATCTTTTTCAGTGGGCATCTTACCATAGATTTCTTTGTGCGCATCGATTTTTAGAAAGTATCCTCATTTCTTTGAGGATAGAGAATGGGTTTTTTCCATCCTTTTGACCTAGTGCAGTGTCCTGTACACAGAAGATACCCAATAAATATTTGATGTTGGTGATACTCATTACTGGGCAAAGTGCTACAATGGCATATTAAGTAAAGTGTAGAGTTTTACGTGGACAAAACAAAGAGATCAATATACTGATTTAGGTGATTCACGCCAATAATTTATTGAATGATATGGAATAAATTCTGGGGAAAATATCATGGATTTTCTTTCCAAACTCCCAGGTAAATTACAGGGATGTAAACTTGACCTTTCTGGTGCTCTTGTAACAGATGACACGACATTTGTTTTTTTCTGACTAACATTTGTTTTTTTCTGACACTCTGTAGCAGTGATTAAAGAGAGGATTAATTTCATAGAATTACTGATTAAGAATTCACTTGAGAAAGCATCAGTTTTTAAAAAGTATTTAATTTAGCTTTGAGTTTTTCAGTGTTCAGGCAGAGGGCGCCCTTGGACCACCAAGAAGGTAATGATAACTAATAGGCTTTTTGTAACAGGGTTCTGGCCCACTGAGTAATGGCTACATGAATGAGGGAAAATGCATTGTTTTGGCCAAAATAGATTACAAAATGCTTTAATGTTGAGTTTAATCTGTTTTTGGCTTTAAATGTTATTGAATTGTTGCATGAATATGAATTGCTAAATGGATATGAGTTGTTGCATGAGTTATAAAATGCTTTATAATTTTTTCACTTCTTAAGGAACTAGGTAAAATTAATTGCTATAAGGTTCAAATCAACAAGCATTCTAATTTGGGAGATTAGTTTAATAAATATAAAGTAACATCTAAAATTTGAAGGGGGTGTATCTGATTATAACTTCTATTCATGTCTGATTGCAATTGACAGTCCATCTGTCAATATGAATATGTATGTGTTAGGCCATGTGCTCAGTGCTTTCTGTGCATTATTCTCACAACTCAAAGACATAAGTAGGGCCGATACCCTCTTTTTAAAAATGAGAAAATCAGAGCTTAGAGAGATTAAGAAGATTTCCACTAATAAGTGACAAAACTGGGATTTGAACCTGGAGGTGTGAATACCAGAATCCATGCTTATACCCAGAATACTGTAATGCAAATGACAGCTTCCTTTGTTCATGGCACAAAATTTACAATTAATAGTGAAATTGGTTTCTTTCCCTTTAATTTCTAGTTATCATTGAAAGAATACAGCAACATCTACTCACTACGACTTAATTGAGGAATAATATTGGGAGTTAGACTTTTATTTCCTGGTGATGTAGTGATTTCAACTCAGAGGCTATAGAATGATTCAGTTCCTGGTCAGAGGAATGCTCAAGTTTAAAGAGTACCATGATAGAATGAAAAGAACACTGAATTGAGAGCCAGGTAATCTGACTTGTAGTATATTTTATTGCTAATGTCTGGATGAGCTTCAGAAATGATTTAAGCTCACTAGACTTTTGTCTTTCAAATGAAGGAAATGGACTTTGAAAACCTCAGTTCAGAAATCTAGGAGTTTTATATTTTGCACATGGAAATTATTCTCTTTGCTTTATATCTGCATACTGTACATGTCTTGTTCAATTTCTGCGAGTAGTATATTAATATAAATCTAACTATGTATGCATCTGCTTTAGCACTGGTATGAAGCACCCCAAATGGTGTAAGGCATCTAGTTCTCAACACTGGTCGCTAGAGGATTAATGGTGGATATTCGTTCTTTCAACAAGTGTTTATTAAACACCTGCTGTGTGCTAGCTATGGAAAAATAGCATTGAACAAAACAGACAAAATCCCTAATCTCATTGAGTTTACCATCTAGTGAGGACAATCAGACAAACAAAATAAGTAAAATTTATGGGAATTAGGTAGTGATAAATTCTATAGAGAAAAACAAAACAGGTTTCAAGAAGGGAGATGGAGGAGTATTGGGATGTGTAAGGTTTGCAGTTATAACTAGAGTGGTCCAGGAATTATTTGTGGAGAAGTGCACGTTAAGCAGAAACCTGAAGGAGGTGAAAGGAACAAGCCATGTGGTATCTAAATAAAGAAACTTCCAGGTAAAAGAAAGAGCAATTGCAAAACCCTGGAGGTGGGAGTGGTCTGTTCATAAAAGAGCAAAGTGGCCAGTGCAGCTGGAGCTGAGGCAGTGAGGGGGAAAGAGATAATGGGGAGCAGTTTCTGCAGGACACTATTATGAGGGCGTTGACTTTTATTTTGAATTGAAGCAGGAAGTCACTAGAGAGCTTTGAGGAGAGGATCAATTTGGCTCCTCGGTTGAGAATAAACTCCAGAGGGCAAAGGCAAAAAGGGAGACTGGTTAGTAGCATTTACAATAATCCAGGTGAGAGATGGGAGATCTTAGCCAGGGAGGTGGAGATGGTGAGGGGATGGTTGGATTCTGGAGACTGTGATAGTATTAGCTGGTGATTTGGATGAAGGATATGTGCAACAGGAGTGCCAGCAAGGTACCAGGTTTTTAGCCTGAACAATTAGCCGGTGAAGCTGCCATTGACTGAGATGAAGAAGACTGCAGGAAGAGCAGGTTTTGGGGGGAAGACTGCCTTTCCCCCTTCAATTCCACTGTTACTGCATCACCCATATGCCACACTCCTGGAACGCTGCAACAGCTAATTTTTAGCCTCTTCTTTTCTAATCCGTCCTGTATGCCATAGGAATTAAGACAAGGTTGTTTAGACTGGGGAAAAACGAATGCTTGGTCAATATCCAAAGGTTAACCATTCTTTGCATTTATTTTATTTGTGTAGTAGGGATTTGCCTTTGCATTTGATTGTTTTTGAAGTTGTTTTTAACAGTTCAGTGAACTCTGAGTAGAACTATGAACAATGTAATTGTTTTGTCTGCTTTATTAGAGATGCTTTTGTAATCATGTTAATTATATTTAACTAAATAAGGCTTGCATCTCTTTATAACTGATGTTTATACCTTCTGTAAGATAAATATAAAGCCTTTTTGTTCACGTTTTTATGTTCTTGAGGACTTGCTGTACGATTGCAGGGAGTTTAAAAAAAAAGTGGAGTGCGTTTGTATTATTAGTCTGATCTTAATGTTGTAACGTATTGATCATGCAAAATATATAATTGGTTTGTTTTTTTATTTAACATATGCAGGACTGTAACAACACAAACTAGAGAAGATGACATAAGGTACAAAAAAGCAAGTAAGTTAGTATCTAATAAAAATGTTTGGTTCTAATATTAGTGGAGTTCTCTGGAAAGTAAGTTGACTTTCTCAATACGTTTTTGTCTCCTTTTTCCAAAAATTTCCCTCAACTCTGGTATATGTTGAATAATATTCTTTATTTTAAGAGTTTAATTTGAAAACAAATGTTATCTTTTTTCAAGTAAAATATGAAATCTGAATCTAATAATTCCTCTCTCTCTCTTCTTTTTTTTTTGGTGAGGAAGATTGGCGCTGAACTAATATCTGTTGCCAGTCCTCTTCTATTTTGTATGCGGGATGCCACCACAGCTTGACTTGATGAGCAGTGTGTAGGTCTGCACCCAGGATCCAAACCTGTGAACCCCGGGCCACTGAAGCAGAGTGTGCAAACTTAACCACTATGCCACCAGGCCAGTCCTGAATCTAATAATTCTTGATGCTATTATTGATCCCCGTGGCACCACTGGATAATTTTTTTTTTCTGCTGAGGAAGATTAGCCCTGAGTTAACATCTGTTGTCCATCTTCCTGTTTTTTTTCGCTTGAGGAAGATTAGCCCTGAGCTAATGTGTGCCAGTCTGCCTCGACTTTGTATGTGGGTTGTTGCCACAGCATGCCTGACAAGTGGTGTAGGTCTCCGTGTAGGATCTGAACCTGTGAACCTGGGCTGCTGAAGCAGAGAATGCTGAACTTAACCACTATGCCACGGGGCTGGCCCCTGGATAACTTTCTGTTTAGAGACCTTGGCCACAAATACTACATAAACATAGTGATATATAATTTATCTATTGTAGTACTGAGTTTTTTTCTATCAACTTAAAGGCACAAATTAAAGAACCATTTTCACAAGTTAATACATCTTGTCACTGCTTCATATTTTAAACTCATTTTTTCAACTTTGTGAGGATGGGTTATTTTATAGACCAGATTGTAATATTGGGTTGTTATAAATAGTATTCTTTGCCACATATCCTTGACCTTCAGGTAAGCAGTGGATGAGTTTATTTGGTCATTGCACGTCTAATTTTGGTAAGGGTTTTGTGTTTTTAGCTCTTTGAATGGGATTAGGCATCACATATATGTGCAGAAAGAAACTAAACCTTTAAACAGCTCTGAAATTTGGAAAAATATAGTTGTGTGAGATTTTATTTACTCAAAACAATTTTTGTATACATTGTGTTAAATCAAAAAGTGTATTTGAATCATTGATTATGAAGAAATGGGTGTCCAATATCATCTGGAAATGTTGTAACGATCATAACTCTTACTGAGCTCATGAACCTAAAATTAGAGGATCTTAAGAATCCTATGAGTTGGAAGGGAATGTAGAAATTATCTTGCCTGATGTCAAAGTCTCTCTTCAACATCTCTAGCACAAAGTCATCCATTATCTGCTTGAATATGTCCAAATAGGAGGGAACTCACTAATTCACAAGAAGGCTGTTTCATTTATTTAAAGGAAGATTAGCCCTGAGCTAACGTCTGCTGCCAATGCTCCTCTTTTCGCTGAGGAAGACTGGCCCTGAGCTGACATCCATGCCCATCTTCCTCTACTTTATATGTGGGATGCCTGCCACAGCATCGCCTGCCAAGCAATGCCATGTTCACACCCGGGATCCGAACCGGCGAACCCTGGGCTGGAATGTGCGAATTTAACTGCTGTGCCACCAGGCTGGCCCCAGCTATTCCATTTTTGAAGAGTTCAAATTGTTAGAGACCTATTCCTTATATTAGAGCCAAATCTGTCTCCCTCTAATGTTTACCCTTTGGACTTAACCCTTTAAAAACTACATGGAGTAAATTTAAAGTATCTTTCATATGAGTGGCATCTCTTGTGTTCTCCCCACCAAGTCTTTTTTCTAGCTTTACACAGCCTAAGTTTCTTCAATATTCTTTATGTGACATGGTTCTTAAAACCTTCCTACGAAGTTACCTTGCTCTGAACTAAGTGAAGCTTATCAGAGTATCATGTAGAGCAATAGTCGTCAAACTTCTCTATGCTGGAATAGACTCACCTGGGGTGCTTGTTTCTTTCTTTCTTTTGTGAGGGAGATTGGCCCTGAGCTAACATTTGTTGCCAATCTTCCTCTTTTTGCTTGAGAAAGATACTCCCTGAGCTAATATCCATGCCAATCTTCTACTGTGTATATGGGATGCTGCTGCAGCATGGCTTAATAAGTGGTGTGTGGGTTCATACCTGGGATCCAAACCTGCGAACCCTGGGCCAGCGAAGCAGACTGCATAAACTTAACCACGATGCTGCCAGGCCAGCCCCTGGGGTGCTTGTTAAAATGGAGATTCCCACAAGCCAGCCCCGATGGTCTAGTGGTTAAAGTTCGGTGCTCTCCCCACTTCTGTGGCTGGGTTCGTTTCCTGGTCACAGAACCACATCACTTGTCTGTCAGTTGTTGTGCTGTGGTGGTGGCTCACATAGAAAAAGCAGTTAAAAAGAGTGCCTAAAAAGGACTGAAACTAAATGTTTTCCTCAAATGATATTAAAAAAGCCCTACATGTTGAAAAGCGGTGTTTAACAGAAATACTATTTTAATAGAACTGTCAATACTGTTCATTAGATAAAAACCACAGAGCCATTCCTGATGGCCTAGTGGTTAAAGTTCCTTGCTCTGCTTCAGCAGCCCGGTTCAGTTCCAGTTGTGGGACCGCACCACCTGTCTGTCAGTTGCCATGCTGTGGCAGACCCTCACACAGAAGACCTAGAAGGGCTTACAACTAGAATCTACAATGATGTACTGGGGCTTTGGGGAGAAGAAAAAAGAGAGGAAGATTGGCAAGAGATGTGAGCTCAGGGTGAATCCTTCCCTGCAAAAAAAAAAGAAAAAAGGCGATTCCTGGACCTCCACCCCTGGAGATTCTGACTTAATAGATCTTAAAGGGGCTCTGGGAGCTATACTTTTAATTTGTACCACCTGGTGATTCTGATGCACAAGGTCTCTGGACCTCCCTTTGAGAAATACTGTTTCAAAATGTAGTATTAACAGATCTCCGAATTCCTTACCAAAAGGCCTCAGCTGGTGAGAAAGACAAATGTGTAAAATGACCCTTACATGGCAGAGCAGGGTGCAGTGAGTGTGGGACCACAGGCTAGAGAGGGCATGCTGATCTTCAGCCCACTGGGTGAGGCCCATCTTGGGAGTAGTCTGCCCTCAAGTGGGGGACTGGTTCTCTGTGCGGGAATGAGTGTGAGGGGAGGGGAAAAGAATATATACTGCCAACAAGTAACCAAAAAGAATAATGATTTGCTTGTATGGTAAAAAGAACACTTGCAAATAGCTTTGGGTTAAAAGAAAATCAAAACTGAAATGAAAGACAATACTGAGAACATTATATAGCAAAACCTATAGTATACAGAAAGGAGTATTAAAAAGAAAATGTACAGCTTTAGAAATGCACTTAGAAAACATGAAAGATTGAAAATCAATGAACCAAATATTAAACTCAATAAGTTAGACGAAGAACATCAACTCTAAAAAAGGCAAAAGGATGGAATTAAAAGAGGTAAGGAAGTTGAAACAAACAATAAAAAGTATACTTGATTAGTAGATCCAAAAGCTGATTTCTTGAAAGATCAATAAAACAGACACATCTTTGGTACATCTGATAAAAAGAGAAAGATGGGGAAGGAGAGAAAATACAAAAAAACAACATTGGGAATGAAAAGGGGACATAATCGCAGAAATAGTGAAGATTTACAAAGCATAAAAATGTATTGTGTACTACTTTATAGCAATAAATTTAAAATCTAAGTGAAACAGGAATTTCTAGGAAAGGCAAACCAAAATTCACTCAAAGAGGTAGAGACTCTAACAGCCCAATAACCGTAGAGGCAATTGAAAAGGTAGCAACAGAAATGTATTTAAAAAGGAAAAGAGCACAACAACGTGCATATACTTAACTCTGCTGAACTATACACTTAAAGATGGTTAAGATGGTAAATTTTATGTATTTTTTACAATTAAAAACATTTTTTTAAAGGAAAAGGAAAGACCCCAGGTCTAGATTTTATGGGCAAGTTATACAAAATCTTTATCATCTGTTACTTCTACATTCCTATAGCATGGAAAATAACAAAACACTTGCAATATATTTCTACAAGGTTAACCTAACCTTGACAAGGAAAGCAGAGATTAGCACAAAGAAGAAAAACTTACGTCCATCTCATTATAACTGTAAACATAAAAATACTAAATCAAATATTAGCAATTTAAATTCAACAATGGGGGCCAGCCTGGTGGTGCAGTGGTTAAGTTCACATGTTCTGCTTTGGTGGCCTGGGTTTACCAGTTCAGATCCTGGGTGTGGACCTACGCACTGCTTGTCAAGCCGTGCTATGGCAGGTGTCCCACATATAAAGTAGAGAAAGATGGATATGGATGTTAGCTCAGGGCCAGTCTTCCTCAGCAAAAAGAGGAGGATTGGCAGCAGATGTTAGCTCAGGGCTAACCTTCCTCAAAGGTAAAAAATAAATAAATTCAGCAATGGGTTAAAAGAAAAATAGATCATAGACATCTGCTAGACTATAGCTCCATGAGGAATCATTGTTGGTTCCCTAATACATGCCAAGTGCCCAGAAAAGTGGTTGACCTGTGTTAGGTTCATAAATTGTTGTTGAGTGAATTGAATTGACTAAGTAGTATTAATTCCAGTAATGCAAGTGTTTTACATTAGGGAATATGTTCACTACACTGAGAGACTAAAGAATAAAAAGATAATCTTGTAAGATGCTGAGAAAACTTTTGATAAAGTTCAACTCCCATTCCTGATGAAAGCTACTATAAACTAGGAAAAAGAAAGAAATTGCCTTAGAGCCAGCCCTGGTGGTCTAGTGGGTTAAGATTCAGTTCTCCCACTGCCACCGCCCAGTTTCCTTTTCTGGTTGTGGAAGCACACTACCTGTCTGTCAGTTGTCATACTGTGGCGGGAGCTCACATAGAGAACTAAACTACCAACTAGGATATACAACCATGCACTGCAGCTTTAAAAAAAGAAAGAAAGAAAGAAAGAAACAAATTGCCTTAATTTGATGAGGGCGATCTATTAAAACACTTAATTGAACATCATACTTTATTAGAAGCCTTTTCATGAGGAAGACAAGAATGCCTGCTATAATTGCTGCTATTCAGCAGTATTCTAGAGGTCTTAGCCGATGTAGAAGAAAATAGATAAAGAGGTAAATACTGCAAAGGAGGAGACAAAAATCATATACAGGCAATATGAATGCCTGTTTAGATAATCTAAGACAACCAATGAAACACTAATTAGAATTAATAAGAGAGTACAATAAAATGGCTCAGTATAAGATAAACAAAATCAACATCTTCATGTATGCAAGCAATAACTAATGAAAAAATGTAATGGAAAAACTTATTTATAAGGATAGCAAAAGTAGAAACCCATCAAGAAATGTGTGACTTAAATGAAAAAAATTGTAAATATTTTCTGAAAGACAGTTTAAAACATTTTGAATAAATGAAGAGATTTATAATCTTGGATGGGAAAATTCAATGTTATAATGATGTCAGTCTCTCTTATTAATCTCTAAGTTCAAAGTAATCTCAATCAAAACTTCAATGGGAATTCTTGGGAGGCTAGGGACTTGACTATATGAAGAGAGACTATAGACAAGAAAAGACAATTAAGAAATTTTTTTCTTTTAAAGAGCAATGTGTAGCAAATGGAGCTGGAAGGACTTGCTTTGTCAGATATTAGACTATCAAGAGTAATTAAGATCGTTTGGTAAATGCAAGGGAAAGACAGATTGGTATAAAGTAGGATGTACAGATATAGACCCATCTTTAAATGGACTCAATGATAAAGGTTCTATTTTAAATCAACG